TATGACCACATCGTAATGTCTACTATTCGCAGACGGAGCGCTGGAGAGACGCGCGTGTCCTTTTTTTTTAGGTCGTGATGAAATACGATGAAAATAATTTAAACATATACACGGGGCGTCGGCCTTAATCTTTCCACTGCTGGATGAAGACTTCCCCAAGCTGTGTGATATCTCTCGGGGCCTTGTTGTCGTGCCGCGCGCGATCGGTCTATCTTCTACACGCAAGTTGATGTTAATCGCTCTCGGATATTATTTCTTGTTTATATTGAGGGCAAATGTTTTTAGATCTTATTTTATTTTTTACAAACTTGCAAAGGGACGTGTATTTTGCCCGTGGCGCTAAACGCCAAGTGACCTAAAAAAAAGAGTCGCCTGTCAAGGCAATAATCCCGCCGTTATTTTAGATTTTTACCGTCGCTCTGTTTTACGAAAACGGCAACATTATTAGCGGCGGTCTTGTCACGAGCGGCTACGCGAATCGATTTTTCTATCGGCCACACGACCATCTGCAGCAGATGCGTTTCCGTCAATGTATTTGGTCTTTCTCGCGTTAAACTCCCGTTGACTGGAGGAGAGAGCAAGGCTGTTGAATTATACGATAAACATTGGAGCCAAGGGGTAAGGCTTGAGGCCAATCGTGGATGTGAGGAGGCATTGCTTCGCTTGTGTTTCAACAGTGGCGGTGGTGGTGGTGGGGGGGGGGGGCAGGTATCAGACGTGCAACAGTTCTGAGACCTGTCAGAAGGGGAAAGGAAGCAATGGCATGGTGGTGATGTGGGATCCATGCTCTTTGGTTCTTTCGGTAAAGTCACGTAGGCGATACAATAAATTAAATCACGACGTTTCGATTGCAACGCAAGCAATCGAAACGTCGTTATTTAATTTATTTTATTTTCTACCTACGTGACTTCACCGAAAGGACCCAAAGTATGCATCCCTGCAGTCACGAAAACTTCTTTTTTTTGCCATGCAGTTGGCGCCGATGACGGCAGCCTCGGCCGGTTGGTGCGCCCGGGTTTGTCTTGTTTTGCTTGATCACCCGTGCTGGTGAGAGAGGCCTGCTGTTCAGCACACCTGTGCTGGTGAGAGAGGCCTGCTGTTCAGCACACCCGTGCTGGTGAGAGGGGCCTGCTGTTCAGCACACCCGTGCTGGTGAGAGGGGCCTGCTGTTCAGCACACCCGTGCTGGTGAGAGGGGCCTGCTGTTCAGCACAGCTGTGCTGGTGAGAGGGGCCTCCTGTTCAGCACACCAGTGCTGGTGAGAGAGGCCTGCTGTTCAGCACACCAGTGCTGGAGAGAGGGGCCTGCTGTTCAGCACACCAGTGCTGGAGAGAGGGGCCTGCTGTTCAGCACACTAGTGCTGAAGAGAGGGGCCTGCTGTTCATCACACCTGTGCTGGTGAGAGGGGCCTGCTGTTCAGCACACCCGTGCTGGTGAGAAGATGGCGCCGATGGTAGCCTCAGCCGGTCGGTGCGCCCTGTTTTGTCTTGTTTTGTCTGTTAATTCAGTGTTTTGCCAAGATTTTCGGAGTTCCCTAACAAGAGACGAACTTTGAAACATCAGGGAAACAACTCCTGTGGATTTATTTCTCACTTCTGCTTCCAGCGGCAGAATTAGTGGGCATTCTAGTCAAAACCGCGCTAGGCTTTGCTCAAGCAGCGAAACGCCGCCCAAGGGGTAAACGGTCGGGGGCTCTAGCACGGCTACGCAGACGCGGGATCGAACAGTGCTTCCGAGATTTTTCCTCTAACATACGTTCACTGTGCAACAAAATGGACGAACTTCAGCTACTGATGGTGAAAACAGACTTTCTTTCATCTTCTGTTTTGTGCTAAACTGTAAACCTTTCTACTCGCCTCGCGAGTTCGCGTCGCTGATTTTGGTCGGAGTTTACTTGCCGCCGGGTCCTCGGGTTAAAGAGGCCCAACGCATGCTAGCCGACCAGATTATGAGTGTGGAGCGAGCAAATCCAGATTCGCTGGTTATCGTACTTGGCGACTTTAACAAAGGTAATCTCAGCCACGAACTCCCCAAATACATACAATTCATTAAATGCCCTACCAGAGAAGGGAACACTCTGGATCACTGCTACACTACAGTCAGTAGAGCCTACCACACTGTCCCCCGAGCAGCACTGGGACACTGACCATGCCATGGTCCACCTGATTCCTGCATACAGGCAGAAACTAAAGCTCTGTAAACCTGCTGTGAGGACATCTAAACAGTGGACCAGTGAGGCTGTGGAGGATTTGCGGGCGTGCTTGGACTGTACTGACTGGGATATGTTCACGACTGCTACCAATAGTCTGGATGAACTCAGAGGCTGTGACGTCGTACATCAGCTTCTGTGAGGGCTGCTGTATTCCAACACGTACCAGGGTTAACTTCAACAACAACAAGCCCTGGTTCTCAGCAAAGCTCAGAAGGTTGAGGTTGGAGGAGGAAGCGTTTAGGAGTGGGGATAGAGACAGATTCAAGGAGTCGAAGAGCAGGTTTAGCAAGGCAGTGAGAGAGGCTAAACGACTGTACTCAGAGACTAAAACACCAGTTCTCTGCTAACGACTCTGCTTCTGTCTGGAGAGGGCTCAGGCAGATCACCAACTACAAGCCCAGAGCTACCCAACACCACTAACGACTCCCGCCTGGCCAACGACCTGAACGAGTTCTACTGCAGATTTGAAAGACAATTGGACTGTCCTGAACTACCCTTTCCCACCCAAGAGGCCCCATCCCCCACCCCTACTACAGAGACGACTCTCTCCTTTCAGAAGGGAGAAGTTAATCGACTTTTCAAGAGGCAGAACCCACGCAAAGCAGCTGGGCCGGACTCCGTCTCTCCAGCCACCCTCAAGCACTGCGCTGACCAGCTGTCTCCGGTGTTCACCAACATCTTTAACACCTCCCTGGAGACATGCCATGTACCAGCCCATCTCAAGTCCTCCACCATCATCCCTGTGCCCAAAAAGCTAAGGCCAACAGGACTAAATGATTATAGACCGGTCGCCCTTACCTCTGGTAATGAAGTATTTTGAGCGCCTGGTCCTGGCACACCTCAAAGCCATCACAGACCCTCTCCTGGACCCCCTTCAGTTTGCCTACAGAGCCAACAGGTCTGTGGACGACGCAGTTAACATGGCCCTCCACTTCACCCTACAGCATCTGGACTCCCCAGCATCCTACACCAGGATCCTGTTTGTGGACTTCAGCTCTTCCTTCAGCACCATCATCCCTGCCCTGCTTCAGGACAAGCTTTTCCAGCTGAACGTGCCCGACTCCACCTGCAGGTGGATCACAGACTTCCTGTCTGACAGGAAGCAGTGTGTTAAGCTAGGAACACAAGTCTCTGACTCCAGGTCCATCAGCACCGGAACTTCTCAGGGCTGCGTCCTTTCCCCACTGCTCTTCTCCCTGTACACCAACAGCTGCACCCCCAATCATCTGTCCGTCAAACTCTTGAAGTTTGCAGATGACACCACCCTCATTGGGCTGATCTCTGGTGGTGGATGAGTCTGACTATAGGTGGGAAGCTGACAACCTGGTGACCTGGTGTAACCAGAACAACTTAGAGCTAAATGCTCTAAAGACAGTTGAGATGGTTGTGGACTTAAGGAAGAATACAGCCCCACTCACCCCCATCACCCTGTGCAACTCCCCAGTCAAAACTGTAGAGTCCTTCCGCTTCCTGGGCACTTCTCTACCGGGACCTCAAGTGGGAACTGAACATCAACTCCCTCATCAAGAGAACTCGACAGAGGATGTACTACCTGCCAAAGACAATGATGGTGCACTTCTATACAGCAATCATTGAATCCATCCTCACCACCTCCATAACCGTCTGGTACGCTGCTGTCACTACCAAAGACAAGAGCAGACTGCAGCGTATCATCCACACTGCTGAGAAGGTGATTGCCTGCAATCTACCAACCCTCGAGGACCTGCACACCTCGAGGACCATGAGGCGAGCGAAAAAGATTGTGGCCGATTCCTCCCACCCTGGACACTCTCTGTTCCAGCTACTCCCCTCCGGCAGAAAGCTGCGGTCCATCAGGACCAAAACCTCACGCCACAAAAACAGTTTCTTCCCATCCGCTGCTGGCCTCTTCAAGGCCAAGGGCTTACACTTACTTCAACATTTTATCTACAAAATGACACCTTCCCATATTTACACTGTTACCCTATTTGTATTTTTGTATTTTTAGATTGTATCTTATAGCTACTTTATATTCAATATTTATTCAGAATTTTACATACTTTAGCCCCTTAGTATTAGTTAGACTTTGTACCTTTAGTATAGTTAGATTTGTATACCACTTATTTTAGATTTAAGTTTACTATATGTTGAATGTATGCACCTTCCTGCCAAAGTAAATTCCTTGTCTGTGCAAACTTTCATGGCGAATAAAACCTTTTTTGATTCTGAAATCTAGGTGGATGTGATATCATCGCTGTTTACCCAACGAAGTAGGAACTCTTAAATTTAATTTGTCTTCCCCCACCACCCCGCAGTTTTTATTCCAACTTTACTTTTGGCATCGTGCCATGGGACGAATCGACGATTCTGAAATCTCGCGGAGCAGTGCAGCACCGTGTGACGATGGCCTGCAGATGGCGGTAACCACAGAGCTGCTCGTGAGGTCGACGCTTTCCATTTGACGCCGAGGGGGGGGGGGCGCTTCCTCCATACCCAACCCCCTCCCTCCCCTGGGTGCCCCACAGGAACTTTTGCTGCACGGAGGTCAAAACCAAAAGTGTTTTTATTTTCGAGCCTGAAATGTTATTCAAATCGCGTTCAAACCAATACAATATCACTGTCATGGCTATTTTAGAGACAGTTATTGGTTACCGGGCTGAACCCACCAACCTCCCTACACTGGAGAACCCCAATTTAATCATCATGCGGCTGAAACCCCGGATTCAAAATCTCCACACCGCAGCTTCGGCCGGACGCCCCCCGCCCGGTCGTCTTTGATGGGTGCCCGTTTGTGCCGGCGCGGTCCGCAGGGTTCCTGCAGAGAGGGGTGTTGGACGAGCGCGGCTCTGGCGGCATGCCGGGCTCGCTCGGAACCCAGCAAAGCCAGCAGCAGGCCGGCGGGGGTCGGCTCGGCGGCGCGGACGGCACCGCCGGCTGCAAGGGAGACGGCGCCGAGATGGACGGCGACCCCAGGGTTCACCGCCGCACGGAGGTCAACTTCTCTAACCTGTACGCGCGAGGTGAGTGCCCGGACGGATGGGATGGTTGCGTGGACGGAGGCAAGGATAGAGAGATCGACGAGGAGGGGGGATGGATCATCATCGTCGCGATGATAAATTCTTCCGTCCGTAATCGTGACAATGATGACAAATGAGGACAATGATGATGAAGAATGGCATTGTCGACGTCACGGACAACAATGATGACGGTGACGACAACGACGACGTTCATGACGTTCACCCCAGACCTGCTGCCGGCCAAGAACGGCGAGGAGGCGACGGTGCAGTTCCTGCTGGAGCTGATGGACATCCTGCTGAGCTACATCCGCAAGACGTTCGACCGCTCCACCAAGATCCTGGACTTCCACCACCCGCACCAGCTGCTGGAGGGCATCGAGGGCTTCAACCTGGAGCTGTCGGACTCGCCCGAGTCGCTCGAGCAGATCCTGGTGGACTGTCGGGACACGCTCAAGTACGGCGTGCGCACAGGTCTGTCGCTTGCCCCCTCGCCCGTCAGCTCGCCCACTTTGCTCGACTGCACCACCGACTTGATGACTCGTTCAGAGTTCGGGAATCTGTGTTTTCATCCTGGAGAAATGCGATGGGCTTTGAAGCTCTTTGTTATGGACGTCAACTCGAGGCGGGTGTCAAGGTTACAACAGTCACACGATGCAATGTATAGAAAATGTAAGCAAATCGCGAAAAATAAATGCAGAAAATAGATAAAGTATACAGGTTCAAATTACATAAGTACACCAATTTCCTAATTTTGTGCAAGGCAGCAAAAAAAAAACCAGTCCCAGACCACACCAAGACAACAACAGTCCCTCCAAAATGAGTTGGTCACATCCATTAATCTGCCCTTTTGCTCACACTCGCCAACTTAATGTCGAAAGCTTTGACGCCCGTGAGCCCTGTGTCCCCACGTTGAAGGGAACTTCAGTTTGAGGCCGTGCTGCTGTCGGGGACTTGGCTGAAAGGAAGCCAGATAAGTTGATCAACGGGGTTGCCCAAACCTTTGGGGAAAACCGAAACGTGCTCGCGCTGGCGGCAGATGCCCGTCGGTTTCCGCGCCGCTGATTCAATAATTCTGAAGACAACTCGCGTGCCGGAACGCGGCGCGTGATGCACGATTATTCCTAACTTGTTCATGATGGATTTTATTCGGCCGATCAATCGAGTGTGTATTTTATTTGCCACGCGGAGAGTCCCGTTTATCCGGCCAGTTGTTTTGTCCTATATATATATCTATAGCAGAGCCTTATTCCCAAGGCGCTTTACATATATGATTAAAATTGCACGTAAGATGACGGTGGGTTGAGATTCCGTCTCGGCCACCCCGTGGTCGAGCCCCGCTCCCCCCGTTCCGTGCTGCTAGCCAATCGCAGCTCGAGGGTGCGTGTCGTCAAAGCAAACCCTGGGCCCATCGCGTCCACCAATGCGACCTCCAATTCGTCTGACTCTCGCACACAAAACAAAGACAAAGATCCCCCCCCCCATAGCCTGTACAGGCTGTTGGGGCAAGTGCTGTTGGCAGCGTCGGATAATTCTATCGTAGAAGCAAAAGTTTCTGCAAATGCTACGGGAGCCGCACTTTCAAGGGCCCCGCGCTAAATGCTTTCAAGCTATCAATTCCGGTTCAGTGATTCTGCACTTGCTCTTACTATAATACTCTACTGCCTTCAACTTTTATAAACGACTGGGTGTTTAAGGTTATCGATTTGTCGTATTAGGGGCCGTCCATAAATGACGTCACGCACCTAGGGGGGGGGCAGGGCTTTGTGACGTCATATTTGAGGGGGGGGTCAAAAATCGTCCAAAATCGCGTGACGTCATTTATGGATGGCCCCTTATCTGGCTGTATAGTAAATGAAAAATACAATTACTTTATTATGCAAGTTAAAAATTTGTGTTTTAATATTTACGTTTTTATTAGTTTTTAATTGAGGGCCACTTTATAACGTATGCTACAGGCCCTGCACTAGCTTCGTCTGGCACTGGCTGTTAGTGAGCACCTATGAAGGCTGGCACGGCACACGAGGGGTTGGGTGGTCAGCACCACGCCCGACAACCTTGCTCTCCACAGTGGCGATGTTTACACACCACACCAGGTACTTATTTGAGGCTAAGTCGACCTAGGGGAGGCCCAGGACCAGTTCCGATATTCGTCATTGGCGTTGGCTGTGAGCAGGAATCGAACTCGTGTCACCGGATTCGTAGCGCAGTGCACCGACTGCTACACTCCCACCACCACCACACTCACGTGTGCGTTCGTTTGTGTTGTTGTGCCCTTGGGAAGCCGATTCGCTAAGAATGGACCATCCCACCAAGGATGATGATGATGATGCTGCCGGTGCTGATGATAATGCTCGCAATGAAGCTCCGACTGCTGATGCTAATGATGCCAATACTTCATTTGCCATTGCCACTGATGATGAAACAAAGAGCTGCTGCTGTAACTCAAACTGTTGTAGCTGATACTGTTCTTTTAGCTGCTGTTTCTTAGGATAAAAGGTGGTGGTGATCATGATGGCTATTGTAATGATTATTGTGATGCGTCTTTGCAAATCTCGCTGGCTGGGATGTGAACGCATCATGTCGTGGCGCGTGGGAGGGGGTGTCGCCCTGCCTATGGAGCCGAATCAAGGGCGCGGGGTGGGCGGGCTACGTGCGATTTTAAATGGAGATGGGGCCGAGGGCTATAAACGCTTGGGGTTATAATTGCCCTCTCCTAATTGCCGCTGCAGATGTCCGCTCTTGGGGCCGTGTTTTTGTTCGACTGCCCGTCGTGGGAGGGTTATCTGGCACCGGGGGGAGGGGGGGGGCGAGTGGGCGAGTAGAGTGTCACAGTGACACCTTCAGCCCGCCACGCTAGAATGAAAAACCAAAGACGACAAGAGATTCCACCAACCCCCCCCCCCCGTGTAGCCTTTAACAGACTGCTGGGGCAAGTGCTGTTAGCAAGGTAGCACCCTAATGAAGGCCGGCACGGCGCACGGGGCGGTGGGTGGCCAACACCACGCCCGGCCGCCTTTGTCTCCCCAGCGGCGATGTTTACCGCACAAGGTGCACGTGTGCAGATGCGTGCATCTACACGCGCACCCTAACGCGTTCACGCACGCACTCGCGCGTGCTCGCACACGCAAGCGATATTTTCCAAGCCCACTTTTATAGCAATGCAAATAACTGCCAAAATGTGTACAGGAAAGGGAGCCTCTCTTTGGTTATGGCTCCTGGTTCAATGCAAAAATATACAATACCTAACGCAAAATAATCATTAGCGGCATTGCGAAGAATATAACGGTCGTACTTGCTGAAAAATGTCATTCCCGTGAAGGCAGTGCGGACAATAGGTTTTGTAACAAAAGCAAATTTATACGTGGAGAGACCGATATCGGAAAGGGTGGGCTAAGTTTCTACCAATTGTATTTAGCATAACATTGTCCATGTATGACGCTTGCGGTTGCTTCATGTTTGCGTCCATGTTTACAATTTATATTTGTGCCGAGATGGCGTGAGGGGAACCGGCGGCTCATGTGCGGCGTGGAGCTCGGTGGAGAGCTGATGCCACGAGGGGAGGACGGGGGGGGGAGCGGTGGATTGTCTTCATCCAGCAGTGTGTAGATAACGGCCGGCGATGATGGTTTGTGTTGTACGTGTCGTGCGTTCCAGGTCACCCACGGTTTTTCAACCAACTGTCTTGTGGCCTGGACATCATTGGATTGGCTGGGGAGTGGCTGACCTCGACGGCCAACACCAACATGTAAGTACGCACTTGTGTTTGTGTGTGTGTACGTATAGACCCTTATCAATCTACTCTTGGATGAGCGCCGAAACCACGGTGTGGCGTTTGTCGCCGGCACAGCGCCCCCTACCAACCTTTGTTTCCCTCTTCCACCCCCCTACCCAATGCTGTTGTTTGCACGCCACACCGGGTACAGTTCTCGTTTAGGGCCGAGTCAACCTCGTGGAAATCCAGAACCGTTTATGATGACGCTCGCGACCGATGTCACTCATCACGGATGTTAGTCATGGCTGGGTAGTGAACTCGGGTGGCCGTGGTTAGCAGGGCCCCCGTGCCTTTTTTTACCGTCGTTAAAATATTAAATATTCGCCACTTATTAAGTCGTGAGCGGGAATCAAACTCTGGAGGCCGAGTTTGTGGCGGTGCGCGCCGTCCGCTGCACCACCGCTCCCCTCCTGCGCGCTCTCACAACGCACGGTAACCCTCACACTCGCTGCGTCATTATCGTCCATGATGCCGAAAGCCCCCTTCGTCGCTGCAGGCGAAGGGTTTTGAATTTTAAATCCCTCTTCGTTCGATTTGCTGGAGCGTGAACGTGTATCAATTAGGCGTTTCATCTATGGTGGGGTGGGCGGTGCAGGCGGAATGGAGGTGAGGGGTCATGTGATGGTCGGGGTCGGCCTAACTCCATCAGCAGCAGCATCACTAACACCACCAAGATCATTACGATCAGCAGCAGTATCATTGACACCACCGTCGAAATCATCATCAGCAATAGCAGCAGTAGCAGCATCGCTAACACCATCGTCAAAATCATATAAACTCACCATGGCCAATCAACTGCTGGATTAAAGCCCCCCCCCTCCCAAATTTGTGATGCCAAAAGAATCGGCATCACAATTTATGAGTTTTGCTCCCCCCCCCACCCCCCCCCAAGAAATAAAAATAACCGCACGTCCCACAGCAGCACAGCGGAGTGCGGCGCGTGACGCTGGCTACAGCCGGGGGGAGAGGGGGGGAGGGGGTAAAAAAAACCTCCCACAATCGCTGGGGCGAAGTTTAATAGAGGCGAGCGGCAACGTTGGTGTACCGCCCTGGAGGATGACCGATCCTCCTCCTGCTCCTCGTTACTCGGGCTTGATGAGTGGAAACGCGATCGGCTCTGATGTGGCGACTCCAGCCCCCGGTTGTGACGAGGCGGTAGTGGCAGAGCGCTCGAGATCACCCCCCCACACACCCCCCCCCCCCACCACACCCCCCACCACACCCCCCCACACATCCCTCCCTCTCCTCCACCAGCTCCGTGAGAGCAAGGAGAGCGGAATCCTGAAAGATCGTGAGCGGTGGAGTTTTGAGGAATCCGGGTTGGGCTCGTGGCTCCGAGCACCGATCTGAGTGCCGCCTCAGAGATTTCTATTCCAGAGGGGTGGGAGGGATTTAGCCGCCCGTGATTTTGAACCGGGTTCTCAAAGTCTCAGCGTGGTGAGGGAATTGTGGCGGTCTCAGCCCGGTCACCGATGAATGCACAAAAATAGAGAGAAGGGCCCCCCCCCCCCCCCCAAATCGACACATTCTTGGCACGTTGGACTGTTTTGTAATCTCGAGGTCGTCGGCACAGCAGGTGAAACGTTGATGCAAGTTTCTTAAATTCCACCCCCCCCCTCCTCCCTCCAATAGGTCCCGTGTGTGGTGGGGTAAAGTGTAAGGCACCCCAAGTTTTTCAAAGATGTCTCGCGATAATGGAAGAGTAGGCCCAACACCCTCCATTGGGGGGTGCTCTAGGATTCCGTCTTGTGGAGGCCCCCTTCCTACCGGCAGTGGCGTGGGAAGGCAATTGCAGGGCTGCACCTTTGCATTTTCCCTAATGCAGTGCAGAACATTGGATGATTTGTATTCATTGTGTTGTTGCCGAATGGGAGGCCGAGTAGTTACAGTAAGTAGGGTTATGCATCCGTGGATGTTGAGTGTGAGATTCACTGGTTACTGCTCTAGTAGTTCGACTTGGCCTCAATGAGTAGCTGGTGCGGTGTGTGTGTGTAAACGTCGCCCCCGGGGAAACAAAGGCGGCCAGGCGTGGTGCTGGCCACCCACCCCCTCGTGCACTGTGCCGGCTGCCCATAGGTGCTACTCGCTTAACAGCACTTGCCCCAAACAGTCTGTTGAAGGCTACACGGGGGATATTTGACTGCCATAGTGACATCTGGTGGCTTCTCATCAAGTCAATTTTAAAGATGAAAACAAATAAGATAGTTCGTTGTCTTTGAGAATTCGCCTTTCGGTGAGAGTAAATGATGCCACGGTTGTTGGGTATTCGCCGCTATGCTGCTGTGCACAGCTCACGTATGTGTGTTGTTTTGGCACGATGTCCGACGTTTCACTCCGCGTGCCCGGGAGCTGCTCGAGGAAGTGATTTTGTAGGGCCATGCTGGCGGGGGTGTCGGCTGCTGCTCCTGGTACCAGTTCAGGTCTCCCCTCGCGTTGGAGATCACGCGCCCGCGCGCCTTGAGTTAACGGAGGCGTTCGTAAGGCGACGGTCATGTTGTGGATCGGTGTGTTTTTGTCACCGGAACGTGACGCTCACTTCCTCCACACGCGTGAAAAATATATCCTGCACGGTGTCCATGCCGTAGCCTATGCGATTTCTCCCCCCCCATCCCCCCCCCCCCCCCCTGAAAGCGTCACCCTGGGGTGGTTTGAACCACCGCCAGAACTGAAAGAGAACTCCACCTCATCGTAATATACAATCATCGTTTCATCCAATACAGAGCCCTCTTCTCATCCCATGTAAACTCATTGACCCATATAATAGTGTCCTAGTGAAAAAAAAACATCTAGGTGTAACTATGGCAAGCCTGTGTTCTGTGACGCATTTTAATGCATTTCAATGGGTCTTCGCCAAATAACTGTAAATTGGCAGTAATTTCCCAAGTAACATGAAAAGGTAATTGTAGTAATTTCCTGTAGATGTTTGGTCTATTATTGTGTCTGTGTTGTGTGCACGCATTGAATGTATTGTGGCACAGCAGTGTAAACATCAGTGCCGGGGAGACGAAAGGCGGCCAAGCATGGTTACATGGTCACCATGCTCATCGGTGCTTTATAACAGCACTTGCCCCGACAGCCTGTTAAGGCTATATGGCGGGGGGGGACCTTTGTCTCTGTAGGTTCACCTATGAGATCGCGCCCGTGTTCGTCCTCATGGAGAAAATCACGCTGAAGAAAATGCGCGAGATCATCGGCTGGCCCAACGGCGATGGCGACGGCGTCTTCTCTCCAGGTCAGCATCTCCCCCACCCCACCCCACTCCCTCTCTCGCTCCAGCTCATCTCCCTCGCGTGTTTGTATGTTGAATTTCTTTCGCACCGTACATAGCCGGCCATGCTATTGGGAGGTGCAGGGGAAGGGTGACGAACTAAACACAAAAAGGAGTTTTGAAGAAGTAGATTTTAAAAGTGCACAGCTCCCAGCGGCTTCCTTTTTTTAGTTTCGGAAGGAAGAGCGTTCCAGACGGCCCCAGAAGAGGTGATGAAGCCTCTCCTTAGAGTTCCTTTTCCTCGCACCAGCCTCGCTGCCTTCAGTGCTTCCGAGGGCCCCATAGCGAGTGGCAAACGGGATCCACGTGGGGGGCGAGGTCGTCGGGATGTTAGTCTCCAGCCTGTCCCCTCTTGTTCTTCCACCTCCCCAGCCGGGTCAGCCTGCACGACCCACTCCGCCTTAACCGGTCGTAGGTCAGGGGAGTGCGGGTGTCTTCTTCGATTTCTGCTTACTGCCACCGCCAGGTGACGATTATTTTAACCGGTCCTGGTGTTGGCCACCCACCCCCTCGTGTGCTGTGCCGGTCTTCGTAGTTGCTTCTCACTAACAGCACTTTCCCCTGCAGTCTGATAAGGCTATATGGGGGGCGGGGGGGGGGAATCTTCGTGTTTGTGCACACAGGGGGAGCCATCAATAACCTGTACGCCGTCATGGCCGCTCGCTACAAGTTCTTCCCGGAGGTGAAGATGAAGGGGATGGCGGCTGTCCCTCAGCTCGTGCTCTTCACCTCCGAGTGTGTGAGTGCCGGCACCGGGCATCTTTTTGAAACGCATTCGACAGCATCGTCAACGGCGACGTCATGAGCACGAGAATTGTCAGCCTTGGCAGCAAGCTTCGCCGCCATCGTCAATGGCACCGTAAAATAGATTTTTGGATTGGATCGCACGAGTGAAATGTGTGTGTGGTGGTTTTTTTGTTTATATACCCTTCTCCACCCGACCCATGGCCGAGGTTCTATAGTTTGTCACGTGAATAATTATGAATCATGATATTGGTCCCGACAGCCTTCGTGTTTCAAATCATTGCCATGGTCGACCATCGTATAAACAGAAAAATTAATCCGTCGGCGACAGCATCATCATCGGCAGTAGTACCATCATCATAGACATTCACATTATCAACAGGAATATTATCAGCAGCAGCATCTTCACAATCGCCGTCATCATCATTACGTGACGATTATCCCGATGAGCGGCCCAGCCATCCGTATGATTTGAGCCACGGGGTACAAATACTGTTATGGCAACTTCACTTGCCTGCCCTTGAGAACTGGATTCTGGTTGTGAGTTTTGACCTCCCAGGGGTCAAAATGAGGCTTTAGGTTTGAGGGTTAAACTACTGCACAAGGAGGAGTTCAAATAATATAGAGGATTGTTTGACCCCGTGGTTAGAATTCTAGGAGGTTAAATATACTTTTGGGCTAAGAGCTCCAAGACACCTTGACCTCCTGGTTGTTGTTGTTGTTGTTGACAGAGTCACTACTCCACCAAGAAGGCAGCTGCTGCGCTTGGGATCGGAGCCGACAATGTCTTTCTCATCAAAGCCGACCAGAGGTGATTTTCTCTCATCCCCCCCCCCCCACGCCTGCTCTATCCACTGCTCGGCAAGGAACCCCAGGGTAGGGTTCGGCCGAAGGGTCTCTCCACGTGTCCTGCTATCCCCAGGAGTAGTCCTATTACTGAGGCCGCTATCCTGGGCAATCGGATGACACTCTGTTTCGTCTTCTTCAGTTCTTTCGGTAAAGTCACGTAGAGTGAGAATAAAATAATAAAATAACACAATAAAATTCTCACGACGTTTCGGCCACAATACAAGTGGCCTTCTTCAGGTGAAAGGAACAAACCTGTCGGGACGACAGAGCTTCAATGTTTGTCACGTGAATAATTATAACATTGAAGCTCTGTCGTCCCGACAGGTTTGTTCCTTTCACCTGAAGAAGGCCACTTGTGTTGTGGCCGAAACGTCGTGAGAATTTTATTGTTTTATTTTATTTTTATTCTCACCCTACATGACTTTACCGAAAGAACCAACGAAGATGAATCCTTGCAGTCACGAAAGCTTTAAATCGAAAGCTCTGTTTCGTGTCAGAAATCTGTACGTTTTTTGTAGAGCGGAGACGGCGATTTATCAATTTACTCCCCCCGCCACCGACTCTCGCTTGCCTCTTGCTGCCACGAGCCAATCTCGCGCTAGCCACTATCAGCTGGTCACTCTCACCAGGGTTGCCACCTGTCCTTGGTTTTCCTAGGATCATCCAGTTGTTGTGAGGGGGGAGCTGCCATCCTGGGAAGTCTCTCGGGCTTCCCGGGACATTGCAAGTCCCAGTTTTTTGTCAGTTTCGTCGTAAAAAAAATAATAATGCACTGCCGTAGACATCGCATTTACATGCAGTTTTCTCCTCTTCCGATTATTGTCAGATATTCCTACGCTTCCCCATGGCTGTCCCGTGTTTTTTCTCCCGTACCTCTTCTCAAAAGGTGGCAACCCTACTTAAAACCCACCCTCTCCTCTTCCCTGTGCGGAGTCTCGAGCCTCTGGTTCAGCCTGCAGAGACTCGCATTTCAAGGCACCAAATCGCGCTTTTATCCAAGAGGCTTAAAACGAGCACGTGTTGTGTGTGCTGTGGCCCAGTGCATTTTTTTATTTTCTTCAAATCGAGAGAGCTGGGTTGTGGTGTTTTCACACAGGGGGAAGATGATTCCTGCTGATCTGGAAGCCAAGATCATCGACTCAAAGAAAAAAGTTCGTTTATTTTTCGTTGCAAATTCTTAAATCGAGAAATTGTAGCAACGTGTGTGTGGATGTGGCTGATGGGGAGCGTGGCGTCGTGGTTTGGCGCACTGCACCACGAACCCGGCGATCACAGTTCAATTCCCGCTCACGGACAACACCAGCGACGATTATTTTTCTCTGGGTCTTCCGGTTTATCCCCACCACTTTTTAGAATCAACTCGGCTACTATAAATGTCCACATGATAAGCCACTTGTTGAGCCGATCATTTGTGATAGACAGGTTGCTTTGGAAAAAGAGCTACAATATAAAATGTTTTAACATTGGCATCGAGCTCCTGAACGTGCTGCTGCGGTGACGCGTGTGAGCGTAGAGGGAGGGGGATCCTGACCGGTGCGTGTGCGGTGCGCAGGGGATGGTGCCGTTCTTCGTGAGTGCCACGGCCGGCACCACGGTGTACGGCGCCTTCGACCCGCTCCATGACGTTGCTGACATCTGCCAGCGCCACAACATGTGGATGCACGTCGACGTGAGCGCCCGCGCCGCTCGCCCACCACGCTCGCCCACCACGCTCGCCCACCACGCTCGCCCACCACGCTCGCCCACCACGCTCGCCCACCACGCTCGCCCACCACGCTCGTCCACCGTGCCGCTCGTCCACCGTGCCGCTCGTCCACCGTGCCGCTCGCCCACCACGCTCGCCCACCGCGCTCGCCCACCACGCTCGCCCACCACGCTCGCCCACCACGCTCGCCCACCACGCTCGCCCACCGCACCAGTCGCCACCACGCTCGCCCACCACGCCACTTGCCGCTCGACGTTCACCAGCCGCCACTGCTGCATCCCACTCGCCGCAAATGCCGCACTATACCACGATACCACTCGTCATTCGCCAGTCTTGCTGACCCACCCCTACTAGACATCTGTGAAAGAGCTTCGTAGCTCATCGGATTCCTCCAGGATACACGACGATTCTGATTCTGACCGGTCGCCAATGCACCACGCTCGCCACTACACCTCGCACTTAATGCTTTACTCGCCGCTATTCCACACTCGTCGTTATATGTTATACCCGCCGTGGTTGATAATATACCATGCTCGCCACTATTACGACGCTACACTCGCCACTAAACCGCCCAGCTCACTCTGCCACTCAATACTTAGCACGTTTATCATTCCGCTTGTTAACCTCGGTAAGCCTCGCTGAGGTCTCCTGGCTCTTTTTAAACAGGGTCCTGCCAAGATTTCACAGCATTGGCAGATACTTGCTCTGTATGTAATTCCCGAGTAAATTGGCAAACAGACTTTTGTAGACTTGCCACGCTCGCAACACCTGACGACCATCCCACCACGCTCGCTAAGCGGCACTTGGCCCCAACAGTCTAAGGCTACACGGGGGGGGTGGGGGCGGGATCTTTGTCCTTTGTTTGTGCCAGGCTGCGTGGGGAGGTGGACTGCTGATGTCTCGCAAGCATCGCCACAAGCTCAACGGGGTCGAGAGGTCGGTGTTTGGCGTGTCACTGCCTTGCTCGCGATTTAATTTAAAACATTTTTTTTTACCAGGCATTGCCCACTGAGTTTATATCGCTATGTTTCAGAAGCGACTTGACCAAAAATGATGGCTTAACAAAAGTGGCTTCATGAGGAGGGAAAAACCGGGAGGAGCTGGAGAAAAATCCAGAGAGAACATGCAAACTCAAATTTATACAGGCATCAGGATCAAAACACACGATCTCCTGCATACGAGGCGAGGTAGTTAACATCTCGCCACCATGGCATGATTCTTTTCCTGCGGATGCCACGGTCAGCAGCAGCACCACTGGACTTGCACTCCAGGGGTCGCTGGTTCGATGCCATCTCCCGGCGTGGCAGTTGAAACGATGAAACAGGAATAAATTCCAATCCCTCGGGCCCCCTCTCTCCACCCAGCGGTAAATAAACCACACTGGGGTGTTATTATCTCGGCTCGTAAGGCCCCCATTTGAACTCGGCCAGCTCTGTTACACAAGGAATACCAACTGGGTTCAATCGCAGTCTATCGATAAGTCCACGTGTGTTGGAGGTCTTCTTCTTTTGTACGGCCGATTTCTAGATGCTGAGTAACGGCTACAATATTCTTGGTTCTTTCGGTAAAGTCGCGTAGAAGGGAAACAATAAAATATATTTTTGTATTTTATTGTGACTTTACCGAAAGCACCAAGAATATGAATCCCTGCAGTCACGAAAGCTTTAAATCAAAATTTAACGGCTACAATGTCACGTTCAGGTGGTCAAGCCAGACAACCGCGTCAGGAGCAGCGGGCTGTATCGCCGTGATGATGTCTCCTTCGTATTTGTGGATCAGGGCATCGCGTTGTTGTAGGTCTGTTCCGGATGACCCCACGATCGCACACGAATGGAGAGTTTTTAATTGTACATTTGTGCCATGGTTTGTACGGATGCATGTTTACGGTGAACCGTGAGCTTCGTGGAAGATCAAAACCCCAGGGTCTTTTTGCGTCGGCTCTTTCACGAAGTGTTTGTGTCATTTTGAACTCCAGAATTACCGAGCCCCACGGGCCCAGAAAGACGTCCAGTGGCCTAGCAACCAACGGCGACGTCGGATTTGTACGAAATCGGAGTGAACACGTTTCTTACATTGATCAAGGGTCATGCAAGAGCTTGGGGGACCGTGTGGTCAGCGAGGGAAAAGGGCCTCTAGGGGCTGTCTCTAGAGGAGGCTCTCGAGAGCTCCCCCCCAGAGGAGGAGTCTCTTCCACCAGCAGTGGAGCGAGCACGACAATCGCAGGGCTTGCAAGGCTTTGTATGAACTCACAATTGTCGTGTGTTTGACGTGTGGTTGGTTTGCTTACGTTGTGTGTGTGTGTTGGCGTGTGCACTGTGTGGGTGTCGCTGTTTACTCTGCGGGGTGTGCGGTGTTTACACTCTGTGGTGTCTGAGTTGTTGTGGTTGCTTTGTTTTCACGTTGTGGCTCGCTGTGTTTCTGTATGTTGCCGTGTGTCAGGGCGAACTCGGTGACCTGGAACCCCCACAAGATGATGGGGGTGCTGCTGCAATGCTCGGCTATTCTCGTCCGTGAGGAGGTGAGAGATGCACGCTTTCCCCCCTCCCTCACCATCGCCACGATCAGTGACACGATCAGCAACACGATCAGCGCCATCATCGGCAACTGTACAGTATCAATTGGAGCAAAACGCCTGAAAGGTGCGCATAAAAGCTTGGAATCGCATAAAGAGGAACGCGTGGATTAGAGACAATACCCTAGGTTAAAAACTGTTTCTTAAATTGTGAAGTGAGGTGGGCTTGTGAGCAAACGCGTCACTCAAAGGTCAAAACTAATGATGGAGTGGCAGCCGAGGGATGGAACGAGTGGTGAGATTGGCTGGTGAGCAGGAGCGAGGTTGACTGTCGCATCGCAGAATCGCGAAAGGTGGCGACTGCTTGCGGAGACCTTCATCCAGCTGTGGATTGATCATGATGATGTTGATGGGGGGGGGGGCATATCTATGGGTAGAGGGCGGTAGTGTAGCGGTTAGCGCGCTGCGCTATGAACCTGGCGACCCAAGTTCGATTCCCGCTCATGGCCAACACCAGTGACGATTATCTGAACCGGTCCTGGGCCTCCCCTAGGTCGACTCGGCCTCAAATGAGTACCTGGTGCAGTGTGTAAACATCGTCACTGGGGAGACAAAGGCGGTCGGGCGTGGTGCTGGCCCACCCACCCCCTCGTGTACCGTTCCGGCCTTCATAGGTGCTTGCTAACAGCACTTGCCCCCTACAGTCTGTCAAGGCTGAACGGGGGATCTTTGTCTTTATATCTATGGCCCTGACGAGTCTCTGGAATCTCATCTGCTTGGTTTGCCCCCGCGTCTCCACTGACAGGGCTTGCTGCAGGGCTGCAACAAGATGTGCGCCGGGTACCTGTTCCAGCCCGACAAGCAGTACGACACGTCCTACGACACGGGCGACAAGGTGATCCAGTGCGGCCGCCACGTCGACATCTTCAAGTTCTGGCTCATGTGGAAGGCCAAGGTTTGGGGACGCTCCCAACGCACGCACGCACGCACGTGCACGCACACACACACACACAGACCTCCCCTATAGCCTTAACAGACTGTTGGCGAGCGCCAAATGAAGGCCGGAATGGTGCACGACGGAGGCGAGTTGCCAGCACGGCGCCCGGCCGCCTTTGTCTCCCCAGTGGCGATGTTGACACACCCACAGCAGGTACTCATTTGAGACCTGAGTCGACCTAGGGGAGGCCCGGGAGCGGTTCACATATTCGTTACTGATGCTGGTCGTGAGCGGGAATTGAACTCTCGTCGCTGGGTTTGTAGCGCAGGACGCTAACCGCTAACTACTGCGTACAGACACGCACAATGCGCGCACACGCACCCTACCAGGTTTGTAAATTGTAACCCCAAATCAAGTTAAAGTGATTCCTTGCTCAAATAAGCATTGACGTGGCACCCATCTCCTGTATGTAGCCCTGAGCCAGTGGCGGAAACTCCACTTTCCTATGGAAAAGTTAGCGATTGGGTGAAAATGCCCCCATCCCCCTTCCCACCATCCTTTACCCCGCATCACGAGCTGCCTGAGCAGTGGGCGGGGCTACCTGTGAAGTTGGCGGGGTTGACAGGGTTGGGCGGGGCTATGTAAAGTAGGTGGGGCTGGCGTACGGGGAGACACGACCAGCCCACGATGTGACTTTGGTTGAGCCTTACTCTTTGGTTCTTCCGGTAAAGTCACGTAGGTATAAAATAAAATAAATCACGACGTTTCGGGCGCAATGCAAGCGTCCGTCATCAGGTGGGAAAGCATGGTCTGCTGCTGAGGCGGATTGTTTTAAAAGGTTTTAAATGGGTGTAGCCCAAGGGTCATAAAGAAGTGGGCGGGGCTAGTTATGTTAATGTGAGAAATTAGCGTGTAACGAAGATAGAAGGAGAGCGGCCTCCCCGACGAGGGCACGCAAGTGGCTATGTTAATGTGAGAGATGAGCATGATGTTATTGTGAGATCGAAGAGTGGTGCAATCCAAAGGAATGAGAGTGCAATGCAAAGGACATGTGAGCATGAGAGAGGCATAGAGAGAGAGAGAGTCGGAAATAACAGCTGGCATAGGCAGGTACGATGGAAACATCACAGTCGGTTAAGACTTTACCTGGTTAATAACGTTCTTCCAATGATTGCTCAGTTTGTACCCATCTTCTCGTTTGAAGTTGGGTCTGTGTTTATGTATCTGGATTGCTTCATGAACAAATCTACTGAAGGTAGCCAGTAGGTTTTCAGAGTACCTCCGTCTTAGAAAAATCTATTTCGTGTAAGCCCACAGCGTTAAAACAATGATCAGCAACGGCAGAGGTATTAGTCCTACCGTGTCAAATCAAGATTAATTGAGCCTCCCTGAAATGTGTAGTACCTTTTTTTTGTTTTAGCCAATCCACAACGTGCATATTGTCGGCGTTGTTATTTGTTGTGTGTGCATGCCCAGGGCACGGTTGGGTTCGAGGCTCAGATCAACAAATGCCTGGACCTGGCCCAGTACCTGTACAGGACCATCAAGAACCGAGAGGGATATGAACTCGTCTTCCAGGGGGAGGTAAGCATGGGGTGGGGGGGGGGAAGAATCCTGAGGAGGGGGGGGGGGGGTGAGGGATCGGGATTCAGGATTGCATCGCAATTTTGCATGCACGGCCGCGATCGTTTTAAAAGTTGTATGCATGTTTCCACGCATGGACGTGTCTGTGTGTGTTTAGCCAGCACCTTGATAGGTGCTACTTGCGAACGGCACTTGCCCCAGCAGTCCATCAAGGCTATACGGGGGGGATCTTTGTCTTTTTGTTTAGCCGGAGCACACGAACGTGTGTTTCTGGTACATACCTCTGAGCCTGCGAGGGATGCCTGACGGGGAGGAGAGGAGAGGCAAGCTCAGCAGGGTGAGTGTGGGACCCCGAGTTCAATCACATCAGCAGCATTGCAACCAGTAACCGCCACGCAATACCCCAAGTGCCATCAGCATTGGCAGCGTCACCACCAGGACACAGTAATGTTACTGATGATACCAGCATCCACATTAATAGCATGACGGTATCACCCGCATTGATAACAGCATACAAATCGCAACAACCGGCACTACCATCACCACCGGTACCACCAGCACCACCACCGCTACCCACGCTGTAATGGAGCTGTTTGCATTGGCGTTGGTGCAGGTCGCGCCCAAGGTGAAGGCGCGCATGATGGAGGCGGGCACCACCATGGTGGGCTACCAGCCGCAGGGGGACAAGGTCAACTTCTTCCGCATGGTCATCTCCAACCCGGCCGCCATGCAGTCCGACATCGACTTCATGCTGTCCGAGATCGAGCGTCTGGGCCATGACCTGTGAGGGCAGGAGGCAGCCCTGCCCTGCTGCTGCCCCTCCCCAACCTCCCACACTGCCCCCCCCCCCACCGTGGTGCTGCCACCCACCAATAGGGCCCCCAGCTTTGCTAGCGCTGCTTCCATGACTTAGCGAGAGGAGGTGTGTGTACTGGATGTGGAGTTCCAGGTGCGGAAATATTTTCCGGGGTTCCTGACCCCAACAGAACCGGGTGGAGTTTTCGCCCTGGCTGCTCCCATAAATCCCGGCTGGGTGTGGTACTTCAGCGCTGCCCCTCCTGCGATACATCTTCACCCCCCCCCCCCCATCGCCATCCACTCGATGAAACCTCATCATATCACCTCTTTCCGTGTGCCACCCATCTTCAATAAATCTTCTAATGCTGCCTTTCCGACCGCCACCCAAAGTGCTTCCCTCCCCCCCGTTATAAACATCTCCGTGGCACTCCGTCTCCTTTGAGCACCCCCTCGCTTAGTGCTTCCCTTCCCAAAGCTGCCCCCAACCACCAGCCCCCATTCTCTAGGAAGCCGTATCGTGCCCCCCACACAGACACAGTGCTTCCCTTTCAGCGCCACCCCTTCTAAGAGCTGCCTTAGCTCAGCTTTCTACAGCCACCACCTTTACTTCGTACGCAGTCCAGCGGCGTCACACGGGTGACACGCCCAATCCATCTCGACTGGCTGCGACTATTCCATGCGCGAAGTACCGTAACTCGGATCGGAACCGCAACGCACTGTTCCACACAATGCATCGCAGCTGCCACACGCTCAATCACTCTGCTGTCACCTCTCCCCCGCCCGCCTCTATCCCCATTGATGCCCGCTCCAATAATTTTTTTTTTTAGTAAATCGGTAATATAAATCTTCTGTGCCATGGGATGTGAAAATGCGGCTCAAATTTTGAACAAACGATACGTCTTGCAATTTTCGTTTCAATTTGACAGATCGCTGAACGTGGCACGAGCGTCGGCACTTGTGTACGTAAGAGAAATTACGCCGAGCGAAGGAAGGAAAAAAAAGTACTTTTCTCTAAAATTACACGCACGGAGGGAGGGATGTCCCCGACCTTGTATAACGGTGAGCACGCTGTACTTGTTAGCCAGAGGTCACCGGTTAGATACGATCTCCCGGCAGGGCATTTGAAACGACAGTGGAGCAACTTTCTTTTTAAATTTCCGTTGCCTCTGTCCACCCCGGTGCTACGAATCGGTTCAGTGATCGGCGGCTCGACTGCACTGGAATCCAATTTTGGTGACTCTTCCCACCTTGTTCCGAGGACATCCGGTCAAATAACCCTGTTGCAAGAGGCCATTCCCGCCAGCAGCGGAGTGAGCAAAAGAGTTGTTGTCCTGCATATTTACCTTCTTGTCTTGTCTTGTTTCCAGTCTTCATGTTGCGTTCACATGTTCTCGTCACCTCTCATGGCTACTCGTCTCTTTTCATTGTCGATCCAGCCAGGGGGCAGGCTGCTGTTGTAAATGCACATTTCCTCCTGGTGGACCTTGCTTGCTGGACACTTACAGCCTTCTCCCATGTCCTGTAGCATGTGCTGCACATGTACACTCTCTTCGGGATGGCACAACAGATTGCGTCGCTTGGTACACGCGCACCCGTCGCATGCCTCGAACTGCCACTAGCCAATCTCACACTAGCCCCTGTTGTCCACTGGCCACTTTGACGTACGGTTTGCCTCCTCTCCTGGTTTTCCCAAGATCCGTCCACTTGTTGAGGGAGGCAGCCATCAAAATCAACATCCTTGATTCCAATTTTATTTTGAAATGCCCAGCGACGATCACATTGCTGTAGGTAATTGCAGGAAAATTGGCTTAATTATGTATACATATGCAATAGAACTTCGCTCTTGAACTCAACCCTATTACCCGTGGTTCTCATTACCCCCAGGATCTATAGAATTTACGAAAACTCCTATTATCCGCAGCCCGATTGTTCATATTGTCCGCTGTTACCGGCTGTTTTTCTTGTTCTGCATTGCACGGCTTTCTATTATCCGCACATTTTTCGCGAGTTTCCATCGGCAAATTAATCGCGTTCACAATAATCCCGTTTTTTTTGGGTTGTTGCCTGCAACAGATGAGTGGAGTCAGATTTGGGGACTGTCCCGCCAAAACAGCTCCTGCGTTCCCAGTAAACGCGCAATGTTGTGGCAACGTTGACCCAACGTTGGGGCCCAAACCTTGCACGTATTACTGGCTTGTTCATAAACTCGCATCACAAAAGGAGGTTCCCCGTACCTCTTTATTTCAGTCTCGCAGGTTTCCAGTGTAACCTTTTTGTACATTCGTTTGGTTGCAATGAGGGCTAAAGATCCCCAGTGATTTTGAAATAGATGACGAGATCTCACGATAAACGCTTTGAACAACAGTCTACTCCGATAGTTTTTCTTTTTTAAAAAGACGGAAAGTAAACTAACAAAGAAGCACAGTGCAATAAGCAGCAATGTTGTATGCTCAGCACGTGCATTAAACAATATATTATTATAAAACTCAAATAGCATTCGGGTTATAGTGAAGACAACCCGAGATTGTCACGCAGATGTCTATGGAGAGGGGCGATAGCGCCTCTGTGCGGTGTCAAAAGGTGAAGTAAAAACAGGGCAATTGTAAGAAAGAGTTTGACTGCTTGCTGGCAGGTGGGGGGGATCCCGTTCAGGGTTCGTGGGGAGCGGTGGTGTCGCGCTGAGTGCTACGCTCTGCTGCGAAACTTGGCGGACCCGAGTTTGATTCCCGCTCACGGCACAACACCAGGTCTTGGGCCCTCCCCTAGGTCAACTCGGCCTCCAAATGAGTGCCTGGTGCGGTGTGTAAACATCGTCTGGGGTAGACGAAGGTGACCGGTGCGTGGTTGTTGGCCACTCCGCCTTAATAGGTGCTCGCTAACAGCACTTGCCACAACAGTGTTACAGGCTATACGGTGGATCTTTGGCTGCACCGCTGGTATTGGATGGAGAAAGCGATGCGACAGAATTGGCAGCAGCTCGAGGTTGAGTGTGAATGTAACCAATCTAACAACTATTCGATTTGGCTTACTAAACGGTCTCGTCCGTTACTTTACACACAACTTTCATTTGTTATTTTGAAATAAATTGAATTTTGTTGCAATAACAACCTCCCCCCCCCCGCCCCGCCCCCTACAATGCTTTTATTTTTCTTCGCAGGCTAATTAAGTAAGCCTCAGCGGGCCCGTGATTTCTCACCTCGAGCTTGCCCGCGTTGAGACAGCTGTCATGTCCCGGGGCTTCTAGACAAGAGAGGTGATGGGAGAGGTAGCGAAAAACGGGGGCCTATCTCAAGTGCAGCGGGGTTTAGCTCTAAATAGGTCTCTGTGTGGGTAGTAAATACTAAAAAAAAAACAGCATTTAACAACGTCCGAAGCAACGACGTTTTTTTGCATCAAACGTTGCAAAAAAAAATTGCGCAGTGAGAATTTGCGACCTTTGTCGACCTCCAACGTGCGTGACCCCCCCCCCACCCCACGTGGTGTTCTTTGTGAGTCTGTATGCCCCCCCCCCCCCATCATTCGTGTGCCCGTGTGGTTACAGGGTGTTTTCGAGACGGTCGTCGTTTTCACACCGTTTTTGGTCCCCTACCCTTCGCGTCTTCTCCTCCCCACCAACCTCTACCTCCCCCTCGGTCGGTCGGTCGGTGTCTCGTCCGGTGCTGCCAACTCTGCGACGCTGTCGCCTTCGACAACTTGAGCGCGAACATTTCGGGTTTTTTTTTTGTTTTGCGTGTCTGTTTTACCAACGGCAAAAACAAAAGTGGTGTTCAATTTTTTTTTTGTCGGAAGCGAACGAGCGACCAAACTTTTTTTTTTTCCCCGCGGAGCGATTTTGAGTTTGTGTCCAGGTGTCGTGTGGCTTTGTTTTGAAGGTTTCCCGTATAGCACTTCTTCGTAAATTGCCAGGTGATACGACTTTTGGAAGGGTCTTTCTTGCGACTTTGTGAAGTCTTTTTTTGTCTTTCGTTTTTGGTGATTCTCCACTTGTAAGGGGGAGTTGGCAACGCTTGTCTTTTCGGGCACACCCCCCCCCCCCCCCCATGTCGTCCCCCTGTGTGACCTTGCGTTGTGTGGCACCAAATAGCAATAGTGGTGGGTTGTAGCTATTAACTGTTTCTCGCTGTTAGGAATTGATTTTTCTCTAGAACAAATTGCACTCGAGTTTAAGAATATATAGAGATTGTGTGTGTGTATATATAGATATAAACCGTATATTGCTGTGTTGGCCGGGCTGTGATGTGCGATGTAACTGAATGAAATGACGAACAACCCGGTAGCTTTATGGATTGTTGGGGGGGGGGGGGGGGGGAGGAGCAGGGGGCTAATGTTATGCCAGCAGTGAAAACCCAAACACACCACAACCCCCCCCCCCCCCACATGTCTCCCCACCATCTACCCCTAAACGACAACCAACTTGTCCGCTCAACCCAACTTTGCGAGCACCTCCAACTGAAATGGAACCAACGCAGAGTGTAGTCAAACGGGTTCAGCGTGCATGGCAGGCCCCCCACCACCCCCATTCACGAACGGGGTTCTCCTGGCCGTACCGCCGTGGTTGTTGGGCACGTGTCGCTTCCGAAGAAGCTCTCCGGCACGTGGCACGACCCTCAAACGCGTGCAGGAGGGATGACCACCAACAGCAGCTGAGTCATCACGGTGGCAACACACACAAAAAAAAACCGCATAAACCGCCCCATCGCAGAGTTGTGGGCCTCCAATAATAACACGCGCGGCGAAAAATCTCAGTCGACTCTCGTCGAATTGCCACCATTTAGCGTTCCCCTTGAGGTTTGAAATCCTCTCCTCCTACCTTGCATTGCGAATCGCCTCCATTCACGTGCATGGCTCCCGAGTTGACACGCGATTCACCTTCACTTCCACGAACAACTCGGGTGTCGTCGCAGCGAGTGTGTGACGGCCGCTCTATCTCTCTCTCTCTACTTTCAGAGAGACAAACAAGGTTCACGCTCGTTGCGGTCTGTTTTGAAACGAGCAGCGGTAACTTTCATAGACAAACATCTTCTACAACCAGGGGTGGGAACCACCGGATGTATGCGTGCTGTCCTGCCGAATAGGACTTGACGCTATTTTGGCAATAACGCGAGCAAGATACGTTTAAGTGCACGGTTTTATTGGCAGGTCAAACAAAAATATCCCCCCCCCCACCCCCTTCTAGTACCCAATTAGTACGGCTACGATGCTTGTACTGTTGTGAGGAATAAATAACAACAAAAAACATCTAAATATTGCCGTTTCAAAGCGGTAGGCGGCCTCCTAGATCCTCGGGCCGTACGAAGCGAATTCTGGGATTTGTGCCACGCATCAGTTTCCCATCCTGCCACCTCTTGTGTGTTTAAAGCGCCGTTCAATCTCATCGAAACCTACCAACTCGATCGCAAATTCCCTCACGCGTGGAGATCCACAAAGGTGCACTACGCATATACTACCCCAGTGTTTATTCCCAGTAATGCTAAACATCCATTAGTCATTAAAGTTTTTGTTTTGGGTTAGATCACGTAGATATAAATGCGTCGTTCGTAATAGCCTACGTGTTTAAACAAGACATTCGCGACCAATATTATCCATAATATAGGTTGTTGGGGTTAATTGCTGAACTTATAAATAAATAATAAATGCGTCGTTCCCCGACCAGCACGGCCAATTAGTCAGGTTCGTCACGTAAACAAAACGTGCTAATTAATTACTACTTCAGCACAACACACCGCTTACAATTCGAGTACCGTCACGTTTTGCTGGTGATTACAACCAGCTTCATCAGGCGATTAGCTTGCTCCGTCTCATTTACCAATTCTTCGTCTCTCCCCCCGGCAGTACAAATCGGTGGGTCCGAAGGTGGCGTGTGGAGGAGGTTAAAGCGTGGGGTGCTATCTTCCAACACGTCCGGTCAACGTGGAACAGCTCGCAATTGCAGGGCTGCGCCTTTAACCTTCAATGTTATCACATTTGACTTCCTACTCATAAATAGCCACCACCGTGTTCACCGCTACAGTTATACTGAAATAAACTAGCAGGTTGTGTTACACAGGGCCGAATTAAGGCACGGGGCTTTAGGAGATGCAGCCCAGGGGGGGCCTCCGTCAGCTGGAGGGCCTCCAGAGATGAACTGAAACGTTATTTAATTTGTGAATGCTGAATTTAGTTGTTGGCCTTGTAAAAATAACATTTATTTTTCTTTGACTTTGTTTTCCTTTTGAAAATATTACTGGGGGCTTACACAATCTAAATCCGGCCCTGGTTGTATATTGGGACGAGACCTAGAGTTAAGAATGTGTTGCGGTCGCAGTATTTACAACAAAATGTGTCTCACCAGACGTTACGATAACAACGTGCAATGTTTGACCGTGACCCCCCCCCCCCCAATCACAGCCCGCGACCCCCCCCCTACTCCTAGCGCTGGGTGTGTAAAGTTGTGATGGTCCACTCCCCTCCTCCGCCGTGTGTGCTGTCTCCTCGCCCACCCACTCCACTAATCCTAACCCCCACCAATAGGTGTGTCCTTAGGTGCTTACAATAGATGTGGGTGTGTTTACACGCTTGTGCTTTGTAGATCAATCGGTGTGTGTGTGTACACAGTCGCTTTAAAAATGTTCGGGTTAAACAAACACAAGTCCAGTGCTTAATTCTTGTGACGGAAGAGATGCCCTCTTTTAGAACGCTTTGAGAAACATTCCACGTTCCTATGGCAGGGACAAGTATATTATTAATGAATGCGAAGACGACAGCTGGGGATTTCCCTGACAGAGTGTGGTGCTTATTTTACTGGCAATGGGAGGATGATAATGATGATGATCTATGTTTTGATGATGACTGATAATGTGTTGATGGTAACGGTGATGATAAGTTTACACCGTGCTGGATTGGAACTCTCATTTCGGAGCTCTATTCGAATCAAATGGAGACCATACACTCAGACCCATATAGAGTCGAGGTGCAATCCTTAATCGATTGTCCATTTAATATGGAGTACGTTTCACGACGCGCGTGTACAGTCACGCCTCCCTAAGAATTCGATTCGGAGAAGCTTGTTAAGTCATAATGGTTTAACATTACACCCGCAGCCCCTAGTGGCCCCAACAACCGCCCACATTCTTGCCAAAAATACGTGATTGTGGCGTCGATCCGCGATATGAATTTGTGAAGGACTTGGCTGCATGAGATTTTAAGTGGGTTTTTTTTCGCACATGGGAGAACCATTTGGTACCCAGAGAAAACCTTATCGTATGAGGGGGGGAGGGGGGGACAGTCAAACACACTTGCTGTAGTTCTATATAATTGTCCATCGTATAGCGCTGCTGGATTGGAGCTGCCAACCATCTTGCCACATGACGCTCTGGGTTGCAGGCGTATGCCACCACAATGTATACATAACTAATAATAGAATAACGTACAACATGCCTTTGTCAATCCACTGCTGGATGAAGGCCTCCCCATACCCTAACATGGTTTTCATCCCATGTGCAATTTGTCAAATACCTTGAAATTGGATCCATTTTCAAAAGGTCAGAACTGTCAATCGGACGGTTCTTGCCTTACTTTGGCAACAGTAATACAGAAGTGCAATTTGAAGTTACACAGCATCTAATTGCAGCTCAAACTTAGTCCCGTTTCAGTTGAATTGTTAATGTCTATTTGACCACGCATAACTACAAGACACTTTATACGTTATCGGGAATAAATAATAATCGTAATTATAAACCTTGCCACACCGTCATAGGTTGCACAGTGATCACTGTTCGGAGCACGTAGGTGCTGACGAGGTTTACGAGTTCGAAGATTTTCAGAGGTGACGTCCGTCACCATGGTGGAATGACTGAATGTGGAATGATGCGATGGGGAATGATTGGATTTAAGGAGCGCGGGTTACCCTTGTATTCCCCAGTGAAAGCACATACACAACGGGATTTTATGTATAAATATATTTATGTATACAGTACAGTATATATACACAAGCTCGCAAGTAAGGAATTGAATTCCATGTTTTCGGGTTGTGCCAATATCTCAATGATTGATTCTGCTTTTGTTTTTGTTTTAAAACTGCATTTCTCTTACAGAGTTTAAATGTTTCCCTTCTCCAATGGGCATGTGGTCGCTCTCATCCAGCTGTAGGAATTTTACTTGAATGACCTCGGAGGGATGATGGGCTGAATTGACATTCCCAAGGGATAAGGACTCAACTTTAGTAGTAAGCGGAGGTATAATAAAAACATTCGATGCTGGCGCGATAGACGTCCTCCAGGAGTCCGGTGACCCAAAGACCTAAGAGCAGATGCTAGGATCGTGAAGGTTGCTGCCATGTCGACTGATGCAGCAGAGCGCAGCCGCCGCCTGCGGGATTTTTTTTTCATCCGAGCCCCGGGAGGGACACGTCGGTAGACCGACGACGACGTGGCGGTGGCGGCGGTGGCGGTGGTGGTGACATCAACAGCGTTGGCCTTGGTGACACCGCTATCTTGTGGTAGAAAGAAAAGTCGAGATGTATTCTATGCGATGGGTGATGTTAAGGGCCTAACGGGCTAATATAACGGGCTAATATAAAGGGCAAACTGCTACGGTGGCGAGATGTTAACTGCCTCGCCCGGTGTGCAGGAGGTCGTGGATTCGATTCTGACGTCTGCTGTATATTTGTACTCTTTGGTACTTTCGTTAAAGTCACGTAGGTAGAAAAAAATAATAGATCAAATCGTCGTGATCTTTTTTTCTACCTACGTGATTTTACCGAAAGAACCAAAGAGTATGGATTCCTGCAGTCACGAAAGCTTCAAATCAAGATTGTATATTTGTAGTTTGCATGTTTTCCCCGTGGTCGTGTGGATTTTTATCCGGGTTCTCCGGTTTTCCCCTCCACGTTTACAAACATGCGTTTAAAGTATTTGGTTGCTATACATTTCCACAAGCCACATTCGCTATCATTTGTGGCCAGGTCGCTTCTGAAAAAAGCTATATAGCTCAGTGGGCCTTACCTGGTGAAATAAAAAAATGGTTTATAACGAGAGGGTCTCGATGAAAAATGAGTTTTATCTCTACGTGGTTTAATTAAAATGCAATAGACTTTGGTACCATCGTCAGCATCATCGATGTCCCAAGGCTTTAACTCATGCCCGGAAGGACTCTTTAACGAATTCCTCAAATCACTCGGAGCTCACGTCACGTCATCGCCGCTCGAAAAATCCGGTTTTCCAGCAGGTTTGTGGAAACTTGTGGAAGCCAGGTCTGGTGGACATGGATTTCTGCAGATTTCTCTGGATGTTTCTGCAGACGTCTGACTTTTTGAGACGTTAGCCACCGTTTAATTAACCCGCATGTCGGTCAGAACAAAAAAAATATAAATAGACGAGACGCTACAAAAAATTAACTAAGGGATAGATGGAGTATTATTGACCCAAAATCGTGACCAATTTATTGACTCGCTGAGAGAATTCAAGTGGTTACATGCCTCCCTAAACAAGGAACGTAAACGAAAATAAACAGAATATAAGCGGTTTATCAACCGGTTCAATAAACCATCATGAATATAAGTTATTAATCTTCGATGGTTTTCATATGGTTTATTAAAATACGTCAAAGTCGGGAATCTCAATGTTCACCTGGTTAAATTCCAAAATTCTCATGAAATCTCAAAGTATTTATAAATGTACAGCCCTTTTAGAAATCCACCACTGCTGGATGAAGGCTTCTCCAAACTGTCAGTTCGGGTTGTTTGACCATGCCTCACCACGCCGGCCAGTGCGGGTTTGTGAAGGCGCCGCTAACACGACCGGTTTGAATATCGTTCACCATTCTTGTTTGCCATGGCCGGGAATCGAGCTCGGCTCGCCAGGTTCATTGCGCATCACGTAACCACAAAGCCAAAACAACGTTGAAAAAAAAAGTGCGATGCTTCAACCAACAGCGACAATTACTGAATCATTCGGTCAACGTTACTCCCCGGGAGGGTGGAAATCTTAACAAATATGCCAAAAAAAACTGAAAACATGGAGTTCTGGAGATGTGTATAGTGATACGGAATCCGAGAGGACTGGCGATTCACTCGTGTATATATATATGAGATTAGGCGTTTTTGATCCTGTCGGTTGTAATTATTTTTGTATCTGTATTATGTACTATCTGTTCCTGCGTGGCATTCGTGAGAGTCGCATTATATTTAAGAGGTCTATGTCGAGCTCATAATAAACCCAATAGTTTTGCATTATGCGAGTGTTTTGTGTGTGCACGTGCGCGTGCGTGCGTGCGCGTGGAACGACGGCGCACTGGTGCTACGAATCCGTTTAACCGAGTTCGAATCCCGACCATGGCTACCATCGGTGCCGATCGTCCGAACCGGGCCATCGCCACCATCCCCCGTGGCCACGCAGGGCAGGGATCCATCTCGCTCCTTCACACGAGCTGATCTCATCCTCGCTGCATCTCCTCTCGGGTGTGTTCACTCCTTTGCCTGTCGTCACTCCGTTGTTAGTCTCGACCAGTGGCCATCGTTATTACAATCCGGTAGCATCACCTGCGCACATGCCCACTTCATAGCAATAACAATCGTCATTCGCCACGAAGGGGTGCATGACGTCACCACGGCGCTTGTGCCATGCCAAGTGCACGTTGAGGCCACCCGAAGTGTCGAACGCCCGCTGGCAGGTCACGGGACAGACCCAAGTGCCATGAGTTGAGATGACTGGCAGATGCAACATAACAATGATGTCTCAAACATGCACATCGTCTCAAAACCACGTGTTCCTCTTTAAGTCCCTTCCTTGCGTGCATCTGGCGATGCTTCTCTGTGCACGACATCTTCCACAGTACAACATTTTTAAAGACAAAACTACAAAAATTACTTAATTTGGAGGCAATTATAACCCACTAACTGCGAAATCTTGACAGGGCCCTGCTGAAAGTGTCTTAAGACTCGGAGAGGCTTTCTGGGTAAACGAGCGCACGAAATAACAAAACTTACACCGCTGTTATTTTGTTGTTGAAGACTGATTTTAAATGAATAGCCCAAACCCTGCAATTGCATGATTCCCTGCTCAAACCAAAGTGGGGACATGCTCATCTGGGTTGGTGCGTCTGAGATAGTGGTGGATTTCCACATTTGTGTGGCAAGGGCAAGACCATTCGAAGGACAACTATTGATGGTACTCATTTTATCGAGCCTGAAGTGATGATGGGCTTAATTGGATTCTGTGACCTTCCAAATGTTAATACTGCCCTCCAGCAGAAAACGTTAACTCCATCAATGATTTCAATGAGCATAACTGGTTTAACAATGCCTGGCTGAAAATAACAAATTGTCAGCAACTCGGCATCAACAGCTGCCGTGTCTGTGTTTTGTCTTGGTGTGTATCTCGCTCGGTGTCTTTGTGTGTCTCTCTCTCTGCATGTGTCTGCTTATGTTGTTCCCGTGTCTGTGTTTTGTCTTGGTGTGTATCTCGCTCGGTGTGTCTTTGTATGTGTCTCTCTCTCTGCATGTGTCTGCTTATGTTGTTCCCGTGTCTGTGTTTTGTCTTGGTGTGTGTCTCTCTCTCTGCATGTGTCTGCTTATGTTGTTCCCGTGTCTGTGTTTTGTCTTGGTGTGTATCTCGCTCGGTGTGTCTTTGTATGTGTCTCTCTCTCTGCATGTGTCTGCTTATATTGTTCCCGTGTCTGTGTTTTGTCTTGGTGTGTGTCTCTCTCTCTGCATGTGTCTGCTTATGTTGTTCCCGTGTCTGTGTTTTGTCTTGGTGTGTGTCTCGCTCGGTGTGTCTTTGTGTCTCTCTCTCTGCATGTGTCTGCCTGTGTTTCCGTGTCTGTGTTTTATCATTCATTCTTACCTGATGATGGTTGCTTGTGTTGCAACCGAAACGTCGTATTCTGCTATTATTTGATTTTATTTTCTACGTGACTTTACCGAAAGAACCAAAGAGTAATTCCTGCAGTCACGAAAGCTTCGAATCTAGTTTGAAAAGACACAAATTCGCCCGTTTTCTCATTGGAAATAGGTAAATTTCAAAATATCACTGTCCTGGTCACAAAAGCTAGACGTTTTCTATACTTTAGGCATCAGCAATTACGAAATAACACTTACTACCCAGTAACAAAAATTGCGTTCCATCGTGTTATGTATGGTCTTCTTGGCATCATCACGCACGGACGCGATTAATATAATTGACCACTAGGTGGCATAATGACCACTATAGAAAACGATTGCGCCAACTGCTGAAATGATGCACCCTGATCGGATGTAAAAAAATGTTTTTTACATTTTACGTGGATGGACGGACATGGAAAACTGTCTTGTCTGAGTATTTAAGTTTCGTCTTTCATTCTACGTAAGTTAATCGCGCTCATGATGAGTTCGGATGACTGTCCTGTATTTTTAATCATTTGTGCATCCTTCACTCGCCATAAATTTTATTTTTCCATGAGATTGCCTTAACTTGCGGGTGAAAAAAGTTGGTGCCTTCAAGGGCCGCGAGGAGCGGTAGTGTAGCGGTTAGCGCTACGAATCCGGAGACGCGGGGTTCGTGACGATAATTATCTGAACCAGTCCTGGCCTCCCCTCCTAGATCGACTAAGCCTCAAACCACTACATCGTGCGGTGTGTAAACATGCTGGCCACCCACTCCCTCGTGTCCCGTGTCGGCCTTCATTAGGTGCTCGTTAACGGCACTTTCCCCAACAGTCTGTTACAGCTATTTGTCTTTGCCTGTAAGGGTAGTACAGCAAGTAGGTTGTTTGTGTAGCAGGGTTGGGCTGTGCCCTTGTCATATGGATGGTTTCCTCCCACGTGAGACACACACACACGCGCACCATAAGGAATTGGCCAAACATCCCAATATAGCAACCCTCCTGAAAGTTCACTGAGAATCAAATGGGGCGTTTTGTTTTGAGCAGTGTATATGGGGTGAACCAAGTTAAACCTATGGGGACACACAGCAGGCACCTCGAGCCACGACACTAACCCCTTTGGCACAGCTGAATATGAATGTCCTTTGTTCATCCAGGGAGGAGGCATCCTCAAGTCTCCAGTCTCTCTTTTTTTTTCATTCTGAAAATGCTACAGCTCAAAATGTCACCGTCTCATGGAATGAACTGCCCCACAACACAACTGGGATGGCAATTGGGGGAAGTTACGTTGGATATTGAACACTCATAAGTCCCCTCAACGCAGGCCTAACCCGTATCTACACGTTTGAATAAGGGTGGTAGAACTGGTCGGGACAGGTCTTGCCACTGATACAATGGATATCATCAGCCACATTTTGTCAGAGATCTCGATTTAGGGTGGACACGTGATCTTCGTGGGTTCGATATTCCTTGAAAGCTCCATGCTCCACCCTAAATCGCATCCGCACAAACCAAGGCAGCTGATGCGTTCGCCTGATGCACAAAAGGAGAATTATAAACTCTCCAGGCCAGCGTGCGACGTCCAGAACAGACCGGAACGACGGGCCAACAACGCAACGCCCCGATCCACAATTACGAAGGAGACATCATCATTATCATCACGGCGACGCACTCCGCTACTCCTAACGCGGTTATCCGGCTTGACCATCCCTGAATGTGACATTGTCGCTGTTGCTCTGCGTCTACATCAGCCATGGGGAGGAGGGGGGGTGGAGGAACAGAAGAGGTGGTCGATCAGGATTGATGACGCCAGGCGGGTGGTAAGTAATTGAAGCCCACAGGTGGAAACAGGTGAACCGAGCCTCTCGTGGTGAAGTCTACGAGCCAATGGCGAAGCTGACTCGCGTAGAAAACGGGCTGAGCCAGACCAGGGCGACCGAGGATCTCGGAAATGTCAGCGCAGAGGAGAGCAGCATCCGAGGACATCAGGCGCTTTGGCAAGAACCAGTCTTCGAGGCCGTGAGTTCAACCCTACGCTCGCCATGCCGTCACGACGAGATCGTTTATTTCGTGGGTGGAGGAGATTCGGTTATCGGGCCATGCTTGCAATGGGTGTTGTGGAGGCTGGATTCAGCAGTGGTGCGCACAAGGCGAGGAAGCACAAGGGATGAGGGAGGTTGTTACAATGGCAGGGAGGTTCGGCAGAGGAAGCCAGCCGGCCGGCACCGGGGCCAGCAGGTGGCCAGGGGACGTAGCGGTCGGCGGTGGTTGCTCGGGCGATCTTCAGTCCGGAGGGCTGGTGGTGTGGGGTGGAGATTCTGCAGCCATAGTGGTGGACGGGGTGAAGGGGCACGGCCCGGGTTTTCCCCCCAAGTGCCCTCCTCGGCGTGCCCTGCTACTCCCCACAGCGGGCTGGGAAGGCGGGCGAGCACACACACACACGAGAGAGAGAGAGGTCGGTGCGGAGCTGGTGTGACGGCGCCAGTATTGGGGTAAAACGACAGGTTGTGTTACGGGGGCTGTTGCCGGCACACTGCTGCGTTGGATTGTGGCGATTCCCCTTGGGTTTTGAGATTCCGTATTTAAAATTGTGCTCGACCCCCCCTAACTCGGCTCTAGGCGTCACCTCGGTGTCTGACCGTCGCCCTCCACCCGCGAACGCCCCGATGTGTAAATTGTGTTCGGCTGCGGTAAAACGGGAGACGGGTTTTTGGAACGCCACACGAGCCACGGGTTCTTGTGCCCGAGCGAGCCGTACGTAACAGGGGGATATAATGCACTTAAAAAAATCAGTAATATTCCTGCTTGACAAACTCTCTTACAGATTGCATACGTAAATAAATTGTGACGCACCGATACAGCCCCTGCCATTGACTGCATGCAGTCTCGTTTATTTAACATTGCAATTTTGGCTTTGATTTGGGGGGGACGACGACGACGCAACGTTTTCCTTGCTTCATGTTCAAGGGAGGATGAGGGGATGAAGGGAAAACGACAAAACAAACACGGACAAACGAATTGCAGTGTGTATATGGGACCGGACTTGCTGGAATAATTCCCTGGAGCTTCAAGCTTCCAAGGCAACCTTGAGATATTCCAAACTCGCATTTGAGGCATTTCCCATCAAAGGTACGGCCGCCTAAGCAGCTGAGGCCGCCTCGCCTGTAACATGACAACCATCCAACCAAGCACAAGGCCTGCCCAGCCAATTATAAGGGTTTCAAAGCCAAACCATGAGGCCGTGAGTGAACTTGGTCTTCCAAACTAACCTGCCACTTGTCTCCACAAGGCCGACGTGTGTGGCTTTGAAAGCCAAATTAAAGGTCTCCAAACCAAAGGGATAATTTGAGGCCTTCCTGGCTAGTGATAATTTGTGTGCCAACTCTCGAAGTCACATGGCCCGGCCTCGCATCGTTATCGACCTTTTGGGTGTCCCACTGCCATGCCCTCACAAATGGTTTTGGGGGTCACAAGCACTTGAGATCGGCCACGCTCTGTCCACTGCCGAGTGAATGCTTGGTGCCAAGTGGCTTTTCCTTTCAACACAAGTTTCGTTGCAACAATTGAGTATCAAGGCTTTTTCAGGAGGCTTATGATTTTAGAACACTCCCTTTTAGTTACCTACTCGTGAAGTATTTTTTTGCACTTTGGTAGAAACGGCATACCCAGACAAAAAAATCAAAGGAAACCCCCACTTAATGCTAATGAAGCACAATATGCATTGAATAACCTCCTTGCTGTACTGCCTTTTTTTACAGGGACACCTTTCAATACCATCTCCAAACATGTTCGTAGCGCACAGCCCTTTTGTCGACCCATTACCGGATGAGGGCCTCTTCCCGTGCAGGTAATAGGGGCTATTTAACCATACTTCACCACGCTGGTCAGTGTGGCTTTGTGAAGGCAGAAAGGGCTTTGATGTAGAAGCATAAGAGTGCAAGAATGTTTTTTTTTCCTTTCTGCACTGCCCTCCTGCATGCCACCCAGAGCCTCTGACGACAAATCCAGGCTCGAACCCGCTTGGCTTTTAAGCGAATTGGTAATCGGCACGCATGGATAATGTGACAAACATTAAACACGAAATTTGTAATGCAGTGTCTTGGAGGCTTCGACAGACGATCACGTGAGCAAGACCTCAAATCCGTAAGGCCACAGGGCGGCTTGTAGGAGACTGTAGTACAGCAAGTAGGTGGTAGCTCACCTACCTGTACGGAACTTTCCGTCATGTACGCTCATGAGCATGGGGTTTTCGCCTGGGTGTTTCAGTTTCCTCTACTATGCAAAAAAATAATATCCAATGAGCAATCGGTGAAAACAATGCAAGACACTCGGTGAGCAAAATCACTTTGAAGTTGTGTCGTTTGATCGGCACGATATCCAACGGTTTCGCTCCACACGCTCCCAGCACGTTTGAGCGAAACGTCGGACATGGCACCAAACAACACAAAGTGCAACCCGCAAACACATCGGAGCTGCACCACACAAGCGTGGAAACGTATGCAGTAGGATTATCATTATTTATTGTGCGCTGCTTTATGGGCTGTTCATTCATTTAAAATGCGGTTCCCAAATAAGCGATCTGCTGTGCAAGATGCGTGAAACTGCATTAGCAAATGGAATGGCCAGTTCACACACACACACAATCGGCACACCTTGTGATTAAGTAACAAACGTACACAACACCATGCTACGGAATTACATGTTCCATGAATACGCATCGTACGACCCAGCCTTGAAGCGAGCAACGATAACCATACACGCGGAAGGTGAATTCTGGACGGCAAAAGCTTCAGATTGTGACCATGAGATCACCCCCTCTCCCATCATGCCTCGCACGACGCTTGGCACCACCACAGCACTGCGTGGACACCGCAGCCTCCACCGAGACCACAATCTCAATCAGACTTAATATCTGGAGCGACGCTTTGTTTTTTTAATTTTCACTGAATTATTTTGACATTTCCCATTTTTTAACACGTATCCAATCGTGCTATTGGATTGGTGTCACACGAGACAAGGCGACGTATTTATGCGACCCGTCCCCCCCACGTGGTGAATGTGGAGTCTGACACAATCGTCAAGTCTGACACAATCGTCTTCAGGAACTCGGTGGTTTGCTTGGGCCTTCCTCACCCAAGATGACGGCTGCGTCGCCATCTTGGGCCTTCCTCACCCGAGATGACGACTGCGTCGCCATCTTGGGCCTTCCTCGCCCAAGATGACGTCGCCATCTTGGGCCTTCCTCACCCAAGATGACGACTGTGTCGCCATCTTGGGCCTTCCTCACCCGAGATGACTGCGTCGCCATCTTGGGCCTTCCTCACCCGAGATGACGACTGTGTCGCCATCTTGGACCTTCCTCACCCAAGATGACGACTGCATTGCCATCTTGAGCCTTCCTCACCAAAGATGACGACGACTGCGTCGCCATGCTCTGCAATAAAAGAGAGCTTCGCCGTGAGTGTCGCTCCTGGGATTTCGTTTGTGAAGTTTAGCCATCGGTTGAGGTAGGCTTAAATTACGTGGGAGGGGGGCTAATATATATTGTGTTGTGAAGTCACATGTTTCTAATGGGGGGGGGGGGGGGGGGGGACAAACATCGTCTGCTTACTATGCACGGATGGTTTAATTGCAGGTGTTCGCCACCTGGATACAAACTTGGGATCTTGGCAATTCTGGCCAAGTGCTGTACCAGCTCACCTACAGTATTGTTGGACATTGGGTTAAATCCACTTAAAAAAACGGTAATCCTGTTTCTAACGGGGGAGGGCGGGAAACTTGAGGTTTAATTTTGATTATTAAATGTGCGTCATTACAATGTACTCCTTGTTAGGCTGGGAAGGGGTTCTTTTTTTATTTGGTCAAATTTAATCGACAAACGATGCCTCGGTTTGATATTTACTCTTATAATGCAGATTAGATCGTATAAATTCCAGCGGATATTATTAATTCTCATGTTTTTTTTAGGCACTGCTTAATTCTGCGGCCCACGATGTGGTATGAACATTCATGTTTTCTAGTGTTTTGTAATGTCACCTTTTTTAAAAACAATTTGCCTGTTTTTGCAAAGGTAGAATTTGTAAAACTAATTTATTTATAACAAAAAACCCAAATAAATGTAATGCAAGACCATGGAAAATATTACCATCAAAATGCATAACGCCCTTTAACATTTTTTTCGGTGTTATTCTAAAACTAACGCATTTAACAAACCTCCATTATCGAACGCTATATCAGCATTCACTCTGCTGTTAACTCAAAACAATATAAAAAAAACACAAGGAAATCATCAACAGCAACAATAAAAATAACATACAATTTAAAAAAACCCAGTAACAAATTAACCATTAAGTTTATCTACAAGAATAAATCAAGTTCCAACAGTGTTCTGCTCTTTGCCAACTTTATGGTCAGATTTAAAGGCAGGTGTGCAAATAGGAAGCATCGCAATCATCACCAACTCCTGCCATAACCATTGTTACAAAGCTGTCTATTGTTAATAACGCTGATCAATTTTGATGTCCAATTCTCAGGACCATCACAGCGCTCATGGTGATGGCGTGGTTGATCTTCCAATATCAGCATCATCGTCCTTAAGTCTGTTGGCAGCAAGTTTTCATTCATTAATGGTCACTGTCATGCCACAAATATAATTAATGAGCAGTCATCAACTGGCTTTTGTATGCGACTAGTTCCAACAACCTTGCTACTTATCAACGTTGTTATCCATATCATTGTAATTGCCATCGTGCATCGGTACTTTTTTGTGATAACTGATCTCATTGATCATTTCATGTCGATTACGGCTGAATGGAAATGTCTATTGCATATATCAGCCTCGGCGCATTCATGTCATCGACAGTCCTGTCTATTGATGCCACTCGTGATGCTTATCATTGACGTTATCACCAGCAATGCAATGTAATTTCATCATCACAATCGTGGTCGTAATTAAAAAGTCAATCTTCCACGGTCAGCATTGTGGCGTCTCGATCGTTATCATCCACCGTCACGGAATATAATCGTCATCGTAGTGGGGTCACCACCACCGTTGCCATCTTCGTTATTATCATTCTCACAATCGTAATCTTCATTATTTTAATGGTTATCATTGTCATGGGTGGCACGGTCATCTCCGCCACCATTGTATTAACATCCCCACATTGTTGCGTTAACCACCACACAGACTATACAGCCTCTCAACAACAGCAACATGATGAAACAATGCAATACCAGCATTAACAGCGTTTAAAATGACAATTACAATATTGACACAAACAACAATGACCCTTGAGAGCATTGTATCATACCCAAATGCATAACGATGGTAAAATAACAATGGTGACAACATAAATACACTAACACGTGAACAATAATGAAAGTGTGTAACAATCATCACAATGACTAACAATGATTAGAATGATACAAAAATCAAGATGACAATATCCTTCAACAGTAGGGATGTAACAATTTGCCCGCAATTATCACGATTCAGAGTCCGGATCCGACCCACTCTTTGCACTTGCGATACGTGTGCGATCCTATAAGAGAGCAAGGTGAATCGACAGAGCTATCACAATTTGCACATCTGAACGAATAAATGCTTGCATGCATGGGTGCCAGGCTTTTACACCTTGAAGGCCCCAAAATAATGTTATAGTCTGTGTGCCTCTCAATCTGTTACGAGTTTTTGTGCGTGGTTTTTCTCAATCTTTGCAGTATTCCTTCTGCAACTCTATTTTTGACCGTCACCTTCTGCGTCCATGAAGCCATGTTCATGCGAGTGTCTTTTTAAAGAGTCTGCGTCTGTCAACTTCGTGTCTATCTACGTCTATTCATGCGGTTGTTTTCACGTATCTATACGTCTCTAAGCCCAGTCTCCCCCCCCTCCCCCATCTCATCTACACACGGGTCCCACTTCGTGATGAGGCAGCTCTGCTTACAAACGCACACCTCCATGCGAGCATTCTGAATCGATGTTAACCAACCGAGCAATGAATCGTCACATGCCTACTAAACGGGAGCAACACATCAAGTACATCGTAATAACAAACATGGTAATCAATCGCGGATAACGGAAATAAATAATGACGTCAACGGCAACAGACGAACAGCTGAAGAACACCTCATCCCCCAAGGCCAAATTCCCAGTGACGATTGCATCACGAGGCCTCAGCTCCTTGCCAGGTCACTCTCAATCTCAACTTGCTCTCTCCGTTATCCCCTTTGTCCATCTGTCCCAATGTCTGTCCGTCTGTTTGTCCGTGCGTGCATCTTCATTGACTTTATGGGACATCAGCTGCCCCTGTCATTGACTCTGTATAGTTATTCAAATACGTGCAGGTCAATTTATATGTGCGTCTGTAGGTCCTTAAGTTGGTCTGTCAATCTGTTGCACCATCTTCTCTCACTGTCTGACTGTCCATTTTATCTCGGTCTTGTCTGTTATGCATATCGGGCTAATGTGTCCGTAAATATATCTAGTGCTGTAATCATCCATTTACCTGTCCGTCCAACTATTTCATTGGTCCATCAATCAGCCAAATGTCGGCATCCATCTATTGCTTTGTCTACATCCATATCTGCCCGTCCATGTGTCTTAAAGTCTCACAATCTGTCCATTCGCCTGTCTGTACATCCATTTGTCTACGTCAAACTGCCCGTCTCAGCGTACGTCCCTCCTAAATACAGTATAGAGATATATAACATGAGGCTGTCCCTTCTTCAAGCCTTTGATAAGGTCTCATTGGAAAAATATAATTAAAATTAAAAAACTCAAAACCACGGCTATCCCTTGACAGCAGAGGTGGTGCATCGGTGACAGGGATGGAAAGCCATCCACTTTGCAGAGGCGGTGCCGCTATTTCTCCTTGTCATTATCTGTAACAGAGCCGGCAAACTATTGATCAGCACAGACAAACACATGCCAATGGGTCTAAATACCGTTTGTAATCAGCGCTTGCTATCTTCTATTCATGATGTATTATTACTTGTTTACAAAGGAAACGCACTTTTAGGAGGGTCCTACCAAGTTTTTGCAGTAAGTGGCGATGATGCTTCGTCTTATAATCCAAATTAAGTAATCTGCAGGTATTTTTTTTCAGCATTGGCATGTTTTGGGCAAGACCAGTTACATCATAGTGGTTTCTGTAGTTATAACATGGTTCATAAATATATTCATACATTGTATGGCAATATGTATAGAAGCTAAGTGCCGTAGAGTTGTGCTAGCCACGACGAGAGGGCTTCAGGAGAGAGTTTGTGTAGTTTTGCTGTTCCTCCATTTAAAGAAGGGCAAACCACTAGGTTTACTGTGTGGTCCATAGTTTGGGTTGCATGGCCACAATCACGTGACTGGCTTGTCTTAACGTTTCCGTTTGTGAAAGATGTGCATTTAGAAAGGGTGGGAGACCGTAGCCTTCTTGCAGTGAGGTCACCTGTCATGCCACTTTCTGCACAATTAATACTGTTATCCAGTGGAAATGGAAATCAAATCCAGATATGCATGTATATTTATGATATGCTATTACACTTAACAATCTGATTTTACATATTGAAACGAGTAATAATATTGCCATTACTGTGTGTCCTGCCTTTATAACACTGCAGGTGAGTTCAGCTGAATGTTCACCTGCGGGAGTGAGCACCAGCGCTTGCAAGATGTCTGAAAGTGACACTATTCCTTCTACAACATCGCTCTCGTTCACCACCACCAGACGATGAACCTGAAGACGCACAAAGATGGACACGCACAGGCGTAAGTGCGTACACGCATACAGGCACTGTCTACGCTCATTGTCAATCACCAGCACATCACAAGCACCGCCAAAGCCAGCATCAGTAGGGCAACAACCACGAACCCATCCAGTGTCATGGTCGTCACAGTAACATCTGACACTGCAACTGCGGTGTCCACCAGATCCACATCCACAACTGCCACCCACACCACATTTGGTCATCCGCTCCCGTGTGTGTAGCGGTTAGCGCTACGCTGCGCTATGAACCTGGCGTCCCGGGTTCGATTCCCGCTCAAGGCCAACACCAGTGATGATTATCTCAACCGGTCCTGGGCCTCCCCTAGGTCGACTCAGCCTCACATGAGTACCTGGTGCGATGTGTAAACATCGCCACTGGGGATACAAAGGTGGTCAGGCGTGGTGCTGGCCACCCACCCCCTTGTGCTGTGCCAGCCTTATTATAGGCACTTGCGAGCAGCACTTTCCCTAACAGCCTGTTACAGGTTGCACAGGGGGGAGGGAGGGGCTGTTTTGTAAGGTGAGTGGGCCCAACCTCTGCCTTCACAAGCCGGTCGACGATGGTCTGCAGCTGCTCGTTACGCCTACACGTCATGACACCCTCGAAGTGCTGTGAGCGGTGCCGCAGTGCTTGCGTCACCGTCACGTCCAGGTTGTTGTAGGTCTTCTCCGCTGCCAAGTTCTGTATGGAGGTGATCGGGCCGGCACGGGTGACGGGGTGAGGGAAAGCCAGAATGGAACAAAACCACACGCAACACTACATGCAGCTGTGGCTTTGGCATTCCAACTCTGTATTTTAAGCCTTGACCAACAAACAAGGTAAGTTTGGCAACCTTAAGGCAGACGAATATGCAGATAATATACCTCCCTTTCTAAAAAAAGTTCTACTTCTCACCAGCCACATGGCCTTCTGGGAATTCATAATTCTAGCGGCATTGGTTCAGCACAAAGCAAACTCCTGACTGGTTTTGACATTTGGTCTCAGAAGAGGCAGGCACATTTAAACCAGTGCCGGTGAACTGCCATGTGTTTATCAGCAATGACTTGTGAATTCCATATGGGTGCTCGTCTGATTCCAAAGTATGTAATACGTAAAACAAAATAATTGTATCCATAATAATTCCAGATGTCAAAAAATTGCTGTAATAATCCTACATAGGTTAAAACGATTGCACTAGTGGGGAACCTGGTTTTGGTGGTGTTGTACCACACTACTTACAATGACATCAAACTTGGAGTAGATGTCCACAACCTTTCCTGCAAGAGAAGAGACGTTGAAACGATGCCACGGCAACATACAGAACAAGAAGTTGAAGCGACTAGACACCAACAACCGAAACAGGCTGAGACAATTATGACCATCTTTGGACTACCAACAATTTTTCCAGTAAAAGAGGTCATTCTGGAACACCAGTTATAGTCAGCAGAATGACCCTGGAAGCTGAAAGCAGAGGCACCACTTCAACCAGTTGCCCCTTCAACACAACTTGGTGCAACACTGCCAAAGTGGGGTCACCATTTAAACAAATACATTCAACAATAAGTGCCTTAAGAAGCATGTACAATACGTGATGTGTTAGGGCATAGCCTTTGTTAATACTTTTCAATAAAGTTTATACCCTACACTGAATTGTGTCCCTCCATGGTCTGTAAAGAGTGGGTTGCCACAAGCTGAATCATCCGAAAATGCTGATGCACATTAGGCCAACTTTAGTAAAAAAAATCTGCACTTGTATGCGTTTTATTAAAGTGTGAGTCATGGTGACTGCCAATACTATAAAATTCACGAAGTGAGAACCTGAGAGCCACAGGTGATTGAAACCGGCATGAGCTCAACACCAGTGTCTGCTGGCCCAAAGCTTCAAAAAGCTCTGTATGAACTCTCAGAGCAACCCATTTCATTCATTAAAACTTGAACTAAGGCCCAAATGTTTCATTTTCACTACTATGCCCTCTGGTGGACTGATAAAAGGATGCCTTATCTATGAGCAATGCTTGCAAAAAAAACCCAAATTTTTTAAAGAACTCCAGATTAATTATTAGCTGCTCTGGGTCCTCAAAAACATGCTTGCAAGTAAACACACTACTTTAAGAAGCAATACACAGGAATGCATTCTATACCACCTCCCCATCTTTCACAGGTAGATGTGTTATCTCATTTACACGAGTTTTTTTAATTTCTAGGCCACCCCCCTCCCTCATTACCCCAGATAATCGAGAGTTCACTATCACTAAAACCTGACGATTCTCAATTTTGGGTCTGTTCCTCTTGGGGAGATGACATGAGTGGGCTAGCACCCAGGCTAGTGGATAAGTGAGTAGGTGGGTTGGGCAAGTGGACACACTGACCAGAAGAATCGACGACAGGAAGGGCCGAGACTCGTCGCTCCACAAACAGGGAGAGGGCACAGATGACAGGCGTTCCGGGGTGGATGATGGCAATGTCCCGGAAGGTGCCGATACCGAGCTCCTCCAGGGAGTGCTTCATGAACGGAGGCTGTGGCATCTCTGACATCTGGCGCCAGGTGGGCGGCAAGATATACATTAATATATAAATATTTTAAAAGCTAAAAGTGCCCCTATTGCTCAAGCCATGATAAATTATCATTTACGTCGATGGGGCAATTGGTGACTGAGCCACGGGTGAAAATTACACATTGCTGTAGCAGAGCGGTCTAAAAATGTATTCCTCATTCATGGATCGTGTAGATTTGGGAGACTCCCAAACTCGCTGTGCTGCCACGAAGCCAGGAGATGGCAGTATAGCAAACGGCTTCTGAAACTGTCCACGGACCCTGCTTATGTTTGACATGTCTCTCAATGCTCTAGTTTCCTCCCAATTTGAAAGACTCCTGAAAATGGAACTGGCCAAACTGAAAGTCTTGATACTTCGGAGGTTTTTGTAGATGAAGAAAATCTGAGTGCCCAGAGAAAACCCATGCATACGAGGGAGCAACAGTCAACACTGCCACATCAATTCAACTTCTACAAATATCAATTAACATAGTAAACATAACAAGGTAACGTAACAAATCAATTCATCTCTATCTTATATGCATCTCTCATCCCCCTACATCTCTATCTCTTGTAATCTCACCGGGATTTTTTGTAAAACTGAAAAGAGTAGGCCCCAAGAAAACATTTTGGGTTAACGCCCCCAATGGGATAGCACCACCAACGACGCATACACAACAATTTGGATATTGGTCAGTCGGTCGGTCTGGTAATTTCAGGTAAGGCTCATTGCGTTTCGAAGCTCTGTTTCAATGGCAACACGATTTATATAGTATTTGAATACGGTTACACCAGGCGCAAGCACACGCACTCACGAAAAGCGTGAGGAATCGCAGCACGCGCTTGTGCGTGAGGATGTAGAGCGCGTTTCCTGTCACGGGGTCGACAACGGGGAGCCGGTGAATCTTGTTCTTGATGAGCGAGTTGACAGCATCGAAGAGGCTACGACAGGCGGAGAACAGAGCAGAGCAAAACCAGAGAACAGAATTATTCAGTGTAGGAACAGGAACAAGATCAACAAAGTCATCACTGCTGTCGCTGCTGCTGATGCTGCTGTAACCTCAAGCTGACCACATCTTCCTTCTGCCAGAAGTGAATATTTTCAAACTTTTAACATGGATGTTTTTGCTCTAATTTATAGTTGCTTTCGTGTTATACTTAAGTTTCTATACTATTGCGTTTGTCATTTTGATGACCCAGGTTACTTTTGCAAATGAGACTATCCTTTAGAATTCATATTTTTTTAAATCAGATCGCAGAAGTAAAATGTGTATCGTAAAACCACCTCCACCCGATCTCACAACAATTAACCATTGGGTAGTCTGACGTTTTGCTGGTAGTTACAACCAGCATCATCAGGCAGTTGCCAGAATTGTGATGTCATCAATGTGCACTCATAAGGGACCAGGCTGTGGCAGGAAGTGGTGCCTGTGTTTATAGATTTAGCGAGTTCTGTCACCTAGGTGTGTTAACGTGGGCAGCCAAAACCATTTGAAAGTCCCTGACCCTCGGTAAGAGAACTCGCAATAGTTTTACACGTTCGTAAGTTAGTGAACACATTCCTCTATGCACAGAGATGTGGACGAGGGAATGAAACCCATCGCAACTCACCTGGCGTGGGGAGGGATGTTCACCAGGGGCTTGAAGGAATCTTGGAGGTACAACTCTGTCAGGGGGCACATGGGAGGAAGGGAAAAAGCCGCCGGATTACAAAATATTTTGGAAGTGGCAAAGCGTCAATTGGCCCTTTGTCAATCCACTGCTGGAGGCAGACATCCCCCATGCCGTGTCGATCATGGAAGCTGTGTAACCATACTTCACCACGTGGGTCGTCCAGGTTGGTGATAAGGAGGCCCGGGATTGGTTCAAAAAGCAAGTTAGCCAGGGAATTGAGGTCGCCGAATTTGTAGCGCAGTAACTACGGGTGCCATGGTTCTACCCCTTACCCGAGATACAAACACCGAGTCCAACCACGAGTTTACATAGCGCCCCACAGGGCCAAGGCCTTGCGTGTCGCACGACTACCTGACCACAATGCGACGACCCAACCACGATGCCTGTGTTAGTACAGCCCTTCTGCCAACCCACTGATGGTTAAGGGCCCCTCCACGCAATACAATTATGGGGGTGATCTGACCATACTTCGCCATGCTGGTTGGCGCAGGTTTGGTGAAGGCGGGCAGCGTAGATGTTGGAGCACAGTAAATTACCGATGGGTTACCAACATTTGCTATGTTCAGTCGCCAATGTCACCTATTCTCCCTCGTCCCCCGACCTCCCCACTGAGACCAACTGGGGTCCCCCTCCTCACCTCTCCACGTCTCGATCTTGTGTTCCTCCAGCTCGTAGATCTGTACCTGCACGGGAGATCGTGCGAGTGAGGGATGTGTGCACGAAAAGCCCACAAGGCTCAATCCAAAGATCATTCCCCCAGGGCTCTGCACCTCCGATTAGCACGATTGGCTATGTACGGTGCAAAAGAAGTTCAACATACAGTACATACACCTAATCAAAGAGGTAAAAACCTCTTGTGGTGGCACCTTGCCACGCCACCGCCTTACGTCACCTCGTCACAACAGCTCATCTTAACTCAAACCACCACCTCCTTGTATCATCACCTGGTTAACTCCTTAAGCCATTGCTTATTCACAATCAGGGATAATGTAACATTTTTGGATTAGAGAGACGGACAGTTTTACTTTTAGATTGACTTCAGTGTTAGGATTAAAAATGAGTGTTAGTGTTAAGAGCGCTAAGCTAGCACTGCTGGGATCCTGCGTTCAAATACAGGCAGCCGCCACCTGTGATCAACCTGGGTTCTCAAGGGTAGTGGAGTTGACTGTCTCAGCCCAGTCACCAATGACTGCACGAAAAAAACACTTCACCTTAGAGTTAGTTTGTACCCTTAAATTGATTAAATTCCAGCACTTAGAATAAAAATTATGGGTTCGACTGTCATGTCGATGGACATTGTGTTGAAAACAGGCCGGTGGTAATCATGGCGCTGCTTTGTAATGTGGGATAAGACGTGATTTTAAAGGCTCTAAAACATAGATCTGCAATATTTACTTCTGCAGACCATTCTATAATGAATGGTGTTGCGCTGCACCGTTCTGCGAGAATTACAAATTAAAGTATTTGTGCACGGTAGGAAACAGGAACTCCCGGAGAATAAACGCACAAAACTACACTGTGCTAAATCTCTCGCTCCAAAAAACCAACTCGCTGTACTGCATCCAACAACATTCATCAACCGGCTTGCCTTTTAAGTTGATCATCTCACACACACACATCATAATCACAGAACTGCTAGTTCATCCCTAAGCAACCCAGCAGCCAAGAGCCCCAGGGGTTTAACCAAGACAATTGCATTCCTAAATGAGAGTACATTTTCAGCATTAAAGAAAAGTCCAAGAGATCAAAATCCATCTCGGGTTTGCCCATTCAACAGGAGCGTGCCCAACCCGTCACCGCGTAGGGATTCGCCGCCGTTGTGCCGGGAGCTCCCTCCTCTTCAGCAATCGAACTGACGCTCCCAGCGCGTGCAACGAAACGTCGGACATCGCGCTGAATGACAACGCGCGGTTTACGACACCCCCCCCCCCCCCCACATCGCAACGCTCTCGTCAACTTTGTCGGCAACTTGACGATTTTGCGACGGAGAACTTTCCGAGAAAAGGAATTTGTATGAAAATAAACAAGGGCGACAGCATTTTCCAGCTCTGTTTAGTGCCCAATAAGGCATCATAATTACTCTTCCAATTTCCAAATGGGATTTATTTCATTTTTTATTACCTCCATTTAAGTTTTACTTTGGTTCTCGCTAATAATTTCTTAAGTCTGCACGGCAAACTCTGACCCAATTTGGACCGAGTATATGTTTTGCCTTGTTTAAAATCACAACAGTACTAATGTTACAAAGTGCATGCATAAGGCAGAGATGAAACAAAGTAAAGGATTGCTGCGCATGTATGCACGCACACAGGTACATTCTAAACATATGCAGAAGATGCATAGACATCCATACGCACGACTGTATACGTGTACGTGGGTCTCAAGGGCAGAGCGAGCGGATCCCAACCGAAAGGTCGCGAGTTCAAAGCCTGGTTGGTGACTGACTGGGCCCGTCGCCTCTCTGGGGTCTATGAAACGAGTGCCAACAGTGGTTCTCCTATGGAGAGACCCGCTCTGTCATCGGAGTGGGGAATGTCCACCACTGTCTCAGGGATGTAAACAGGAGGAGGAAGCACCACCTTCTTCATGCTCATTTGAGCAAGAAAGTCACCGACTTTTTTTTCTTTTCGAATGTGAACCCAATTACACACGTGCAAATTTTTTTAATTTAGCAATATGGATAAAGTTAAGAATTCCAGAAGAGCCCAATGAGCGGACACAGCGATATTAATAAACAAATCTACACATCCTTCATTCAGCAAGGATGCTGGTGCCTGTAGAGGGCAGTGCAAGATTGTAGCAGGCTTTCATATATAATACTGGGTTTTTTTGGGTTAGATCGCATAAATATATAAATGTGTCGTTAAACCCGCCCCCGATGATTAATTATGGATGATATTGGTCGCGAAAGTCTACGTGTTAAACAGGCGATCATCTGTGTGCCCCAGGCTTGCCTTCTCTCATATGCGACGGGGGTCACTCCCGGTTTATTTCCACATGTCGTTTTATCAAAATATCCATAAAGGAAAAGCATTCATGAGCCATAACCTTGCGGGCAGGACCCTCATGGGGAAAAAAATTGTCACGAGGAGTGAGGATTAGTGATGCATTCCTGCATAAATATTTAGAAAGAATGTGATCATCTTAAAGGCCTTACCAGTGGAGACTTGTAATATCTGTGAAGGATGTTGATGAAGTCTGTTATAGTCAGCATTCCTGCAAAAAAAATCAGTTCAAGTATCTTTACTGAGCAAGATAAGAGGCCTTTGAAATCCAGAATGTATTTCAAAGTGATACCTGAGAATCTGTGTTCATAGGGACACTATAAAAAAAAATTATCGCTTGTATTTTATTTTAGGTAGAGGGATGACGTAGCGGTTAGCGCATAGCACAATGAACCTGGCAAACAGACTTATAATCCCAACCAGGGCTAACCTTACTGGCGAGTGATACTTAAACTGGTCCTAGACCAGTTCCCTTTCATCAACCCACACTGACAAACGCTGCCAAGTATAGTCAAAACCCCAATGACTGAGGAGGCATGGGCAGGCCTTAATTCAGCAGTGGATTGACAAAGTGCTGTACACTTTTCAGACCTTTTTCTTGTAAAAGAAAGATACGTAACGGTTTGTCGCAGGATCTTTTGACATCAACTTGCCACGCTGGTAGCCAGCATTGTATCACACAATAGGCAAATTACATACCGTGAGCTGATGAGATCGGGCGCGGTGTGTGGGCAATCTGGTCATGGGCAGCAGATTGATACATCTTTAGTGCAGAGATGAAGGTGGTGTGCTCTCACCCACGAAGGCCTGCCTGTGATTGTCCCACAATGGTGCAGCCCTCACTCCATTGGCCACCAGGGCAAAGAAGGCCTTTTTGACCTATGCATAAACACACAAAGACTTCTCACCCCCGGTATAGCCTTAACAGACTGTTGGGGCAAGTGCTGTTAGTAAGCACCTATGAAAGGCCCACGAGGGGTGGGTGGCCAGCATTACAAAGATCCCCCATATAGCCTTAACAGACTGTAGGGGCAAGTGCTGTTAGCGAGCACCTATGAAGGCCGGAACGGTACACGAGGGGGTGGGTGGCCAGTACCACGCGCGACCGCCTTTGTCTCCCTAGTGGCAATGTTTACACACCACACCAGGTACTCATTTGAGGCTGAGTCGACCTAGGGGAGGCCCGGGACCGGTTCAGATAATCGTCACTGGTGTTGGCCGTGAGCAGGAATAGAACCCGGGTTCATAGCGCAGCGCGCTAACCGCTGCACTATCGCTCCCCACAGCACTACGCCCACATACACATGCCCACGTATGTATAAAGGCCTCCCCACACACACACACGGTACATTCACAAACACACAAAAAGACAACCATGTGCCATTTATTATTTACAGACTGTGGCGGCAAGTGCTGTTAGCAAAGATCTTTTAAGGTTGGCATGGCGAGAGAGGCGGGTGATGTGACCAGCACCACCCCTGGCTGCCTTTGTATTCCCCAGTGCTAATGTTTACACACCACACCAGGTACTCATTTGAGCCCGAGTCAACTTGGCGCACACCCGAGACAAGTTTTAATACCAATTGCTGTGACTGGGAACGTAAGTTTCCAAACTGATAGCGCACGTATACACGCAATCACACGCGCAGCCATCATTCGTCACAAAATTTGCAGTGCTCTGGGAGGTCGCGTTCACATGAAGTGTATGACGTGGGAAGTGAAGGCTCGCGCTGGCAGGAGGTCATGGTGAGGAGCCAGCGGTTACGAGTTCACAAACAGGGTCCCATCGATGACGAGTTCACAAACAGGGTCCAAGCGATGATGAGTTCACAAACACGGTCCCGGCAATGACGGGCAGACGCACTGACATGCTCTCACCGCTGTCTCAACTTGCCAAATTTCATTTACATGACGCTCAGCTGCTCATTGTTGTAAGCAGTCAACTTAGGGCTGTGTTTAGTGGTTGAGCTAGAGTTTTATGTTTACGGACGTAAGCGCGGTTAGGGCTCCGGCTGGGACGCCTTACCTGCAGCGAGACGTCAAACACCACAAGCTTGGAGCTGGTTGGGATGATGTCGTAACATCTGTGCGCCTTCATGAAGCGCGTGTACACCGTGTCTTCTGAATCCTCTGCGCAGAGATATGTGGCGGCAAACGGAGTGAACGTCAGTTGCATTTGTTCATTTCATTTAACATAACATCCATAAGCTTTTACACATTTATTTTTGGTCTACGTGCCGAAATGATATCCCGACACTCATAACCAGGGTTGCTGCCACAGTGATGTGGCAGTTAGCACACCGAGCTTGCAATCTTAGAGATCCCCTCCAATTCCGTCCCCCAGCCACGGCAGTTAAAAAACAATTGGTGGGAAGTTTCTTAAATCGCCCCCACCACTGCCTCTGTCCACACAGCAGTATAAGTGGGTACACGGCACAGTCAGTCGATCGGCAGGTCGCGTGTGGTGGGGTAAAGTGTGGGTAACTCCCACCTCTCCATGTTGTCTCACCAGCGTGGAAGAGTAGGCCAAATACCCTTTACAGCTCCCTCTGGCTATATATGTGCCAAATTCAGCTTTCTGGTGCTTCTGGAACATCATTAGAATGGACGTCAATCGCTCACAAAATTGCGATCGTCTCTAAGAGTGAGATTACTATCATAACATCATGTCATGAAGTGACAGGAAACCCCTGTTGGAACTGTAACAGTCAACAGTTTCAAGTGTAAGGTAACTGCCCCAGAAGCTGAGACCACACAATTCCATCAATAAAGATATCTTTTACACATGTTTACAATGAGCCTTTCTCACCTCACCCTAGGTGGCTGATATTCAAAGCCCACTGCGAGTGGCTCGTTATATGCCAATTATCCGATGCGTCATTACAGTTTTTGTTGCGGAGTTAAACCAGGCCAAAGCAAATAAAAAAAACTAATTTAATAAACAGAGGCATACTGTGTTTGAGTGCAGTCATCGGTGACTGGGATGAGAATCTGGTATGATAACGGGGAGGGCTGTGCGGATTGAAACCCCACGATCTCAGCCATATTACGGGGCTCAGTGCTCTGACCAAAGACAAAGCTCCCCCGTATAGCCTTCACAGACTGTTGGGGCAAGTGCTGTTTGCGAGCAACATCTATGAAAGCTCGCACGGCACACAAGGGGAGTGGGGTCGCCAACACCACACCCAGCCGCACCAGGTACTCATTTGAGGCAGAGTCGACCGAGGGGAGGCCCATGACCGGTTCAGATAATCGTTACTGATGTTGGCCGTGAGCAGGAAACGAACTTCGGTCACCAGGTTTGTAGCCAGCGCGCTAAGCGCTCTGACCACGCCCATTATGAGACCCGCGAGCTCTTATTCCGATATTATTTGTCCACGTTACCCCAGGTCTCACTTGTAAAAGAAATGCGCACACGTGTGGTCCTTTCAACCAGCAGTGGATTAACACGGCATAAGCACCCCCCCCCCGCATGCCACGCAGGTTGTAGGGGTGATTTGACCATACTTCACTCACACTGGTCAGTGAGGTGAAGGTAGATTGGGAGTGCATATGTGGGGCCATAGAAGTACAATACAACAGTGGCGTTTGCTACAGTGCCCCTCTGCTGTCCATCACACAGCCCCTTAGCAGCCTAGATGGATGTCTGTCATGCAGAGCAAAGGAAATATGTTACCGAATTCAACTCTAGCCTAGTTTCCTATTTTAAAGGGTGACCCATTAAATAGATTCATATATTAAAATAGAAACATTCATTTACCCAGAAAAGCTTCATGGAATCCAAAGAGTATATATATTTTATGACGTGTCCTATTCGAGATATTTGATGAACTGTTGAATAAATATGTTTTGCAGTGTAAAGAAAACACATGAACAATTGGGAGAAAACCCGACATAAAGCAGAAACAGTGGAGTGGTCTCCAGGCGTTCGGCAAACCAAGAGAAGGGCCCAACACCAGAAGGTGGTGGAGACCGCGAGGACAGATCCTGGGAGGTCACCGTGTGTCTACTGTGCAGCAGCAGCTGTGGTATCTGGCAGAGGGTGGAAAACGCTGGAGAGGAGCGGTGGTGCAGTGCTGGTGGCATCAACGGCTCTGGCCATGGACTCGAAAATACCTTGAGATAGGGCATCAACGCAACTCTGTGTACTGCCACGTACTACCCACGTAGCCCTACAGGTTGGGCATCTCGTGCAATCGGTGATCCTGGTGCGATCTGCTAACCCCACTTCATATTCTCCGAATGATCAAAGCCCAAAATTTACTTCCATTAAAAACATTTATAATAAATACCATTGTTTTATGGCACAATACAATGGAAAAGTTGTCAAACTTAGGAGAAATATGCATTGTCGAGTGAAATATGTCATTACTATACATAGGGCATACGAAGAGGAACACGTGGATTAGGGTTTGAGACAACATATTGACCATCAAGAAAAATAATTGTCAATGGGCAAGACACGTCGCAGGAAGGGATCATAGCCAGGTGGTTGAGCAGAATGACAGAATCGCAAAGGAGGGAACATGCCCGAGATTCTGTCCACCGTGGTGATGGAGCGGTGAAAATAATCTCACGTGTAATTGCTATATGGATTGTTGCACCGCAATATGGTGAGATATGGTGACAGCTTGGGGGATGCCATAATCCAGCAGTGGATTGATCATAACTCATGATGATGTAGGATAGTATATCAATTATCTAGACAGCTGGCACTGTGGTCGAGTGCTCAGCACAACTGTTAAGCCCTGAGTTCAAATTCCAGTCAGATAGACCAGGGGTCATTCAAATGAACACCACTTGGCGGAATATCACCAACATCAATATTACGAATAAACTGGCCCCTTCCATAAGTAAGTGGAATTTCCTAATTTAGCTCAAATCACCACCATACCCTCATTTGAGCATGGATCGTGGTGCAATATATCTGAAAAAAGGCCAAGCTGATGAAATCCAAGTATCTATAGAAAGTAAATCACCATATAGATCAATAACTGTAATCAATTAAGCAGTCATAAGAGTGTGTGGTGCATAGGTCAGCATGATAATTCAAGCTCGGGTGGCTGGAATCGTTAAATCGTAACGCAATACAACCGCACAGAGTTTTGAAGTGGGGGGGGGGGGGTGCGGTTGATGGCATTTCCCCAACGAACATTTATCATTTTTCAAAGCTTGATTCGCGCTTGAGCACCGCTGCCAATGCAGTCGCCTAATTATTTTAGCCGTTCATTTTCACTCTCAAGAAGGGGCCAGACCGACAATGTTAACGATTAAATTGTGTTGTAAGGCAACCGACAATCACAGTATTTATTTATACCGGAAGAATCCGTTGAGCTATAAAGCTCTTTCTCACAGATGTCCGGTAGACCAAGGAATGGAACACATCTGAGAGGACGTCCACCAGAGATGAAACGATGAAATCGGCTCGTGTGCAGGGTGCCGGGTGTGACTGTGAGAGGTGGTCTTGGGGAGGGGCCTTCATCCAGCAGTGGACTGACCATGGCTAATTGATGATGATGGCAATATTAATGATGGATGTGGTGATTTTTTTGGCTATTTGTAGTTGCACACTACTGCCAACACATATTTTTCTTCTTTTATAAACAGACTTTGATCATCACTCGAATTACTTTGGTTCTGTACGACTTGTATTTCTAGTGAACTCTAAATAGACCATAAAAATAGCCCTGAGCCTATTCTTTGACTTTTGGAAATTTGCAGTGCACCCCGAGGAGGTTAACAGTGCCTTAGATTGGTTGTTCCAGTCTTGGCCAGCATCTTGATAAGCAGCTGTCACAATAGAGGGCAATTACACTGAGTCTTAGGAATCATCAACGTGTTTATGCCTGCCTTAACCTTTTTACATTTGAGAAATGCATCTGAGAAATTATACGCGTACAATACGGTTAAGATACGTATACATGTAAGTGTGCAGCAACGAATGGCAGTATAGCAAGCAGGTTTGCTGGCCTACGTATGGTATTTCCCATTGTATGCGTGGGTTTCCTCTGGGCGCTTCAAATACCTCTCATATTTCTAAAAGGACTCCATAAAGAATTGGCCAAACATCAGAAGTAGTTCTGGGACATCAACTTCCAGAGCCTATTTGCTGACACAAGGTTTCTTTTGAGAGCACCAAATGGTAATTGATTTATCTCGTTAGCCGTTGCCAACAGCACGACCATAATACCACTTTGGGATTTAAAAAGTAGCATTATTAAGCCTTGGGTTCCGTCTAAAGATCGTGCTCGGGGAAGTAAAGGCACTTACCGTCCCCGTAAAGGTCGAGTTTATCCAGCATGCCGTCTGCCAGCGAGGAGACCTGTAAAGGCAAATACACGCACACACAGACACAACGGTCAGTTAGCCTTGTACAGAGTATATAGCATGAGGGGCAGTGTCTGTAAAGCAAGAACTCTCAACGACAGTATGCGACGGGTGTGTGATGTTGGACATCAGCTCGCACACCCCGCTGTCTTTGTCTCTCCAAACATTTGCCAATGATGGAAAACGAATACTAAACTAAACTATTAAACTACTTTTTATCTTATTAAGTAGGGTTAACTGAACTATATAGCTCTTTTTCAGAAGCGACCTGGCCACAAATTATAGCTCAACGAATTGGAATTATAACGTGCAAATTTATCTCAGCCAAATATTCTAAAATACATGTAGAAGTGTAGGCACACACAAGAGGGACCGTTTACAGATACAGACATAGAGCCGGGGCCACCACAACCCAGGACCCCAGTAACAAAATATTTGTTCTCCCAGTTTGCCATGTGTGTGTATAAGGCTTGTCCAAACACAAACACAAAGATCACCCCCCCCTACCCCATGGAGCCTACACAAATTGTTGGAACGAGTGCTATTAGCGAGCACCCATGACAGCCGGGGCGACACACGAGGGGCCAGCACCACACCCGGCTGCCTTCGTCTTCCCAGTGCTGATGTTTGCACACAGCACAAGGCACTCCGCACCTCCGGTTAGGACGGCTGGCTACGTACGGTGCTCAATAAGTTCAACATACATATGAGGCTGAGTTGACCTATACGAGAGGCCCAGGACCGCTTCAAGTAGCCACCTCTGATATTATCCGTGGCCTGGAATGGAACTCATCAAAGTAGAGCAATGACTCACTGCACTAATTTGCAGGGAGCATACACACTATCACCTGTATGGCCTTAACACAAGCTGTTGGGGCAAGTGCTGTTAACGAGCACCTGTAAAGCCCAGCACAGCACACAAGGAGGTCGGTGGCCAGCACCACGCCTACACACCAACACGCACATGCCGACATACGTACAGAAACAAAGATGTACCCTACTCTTTGGTTCTATTCGGTAAAGTCACGTAAAAAAACTACAAAAAATAAAAAAATTCACGGCGTTTCGGCCACAACACAAGTGGCCTTCATCAGGTGAAAGGACCAGACTGTCTAGAGGACAGCGCTGGAGTGAACACAGCCAAGCTCAGACCGCGACCTTTTTGTCAAGGCGCTCTGCTTCCTCTCACACAGCTTAAAGGCCACGGTCTGAGCTTGGCTGTGTTCACTCCAGCGCTGTCCTCTAGACAGACTGGTCCCTTCACTTGATGAAGGCCACTTGTGTTGTGGCCACAACGTCGTGAGAATTTTTTTATTTTTTGTTGTTTTTTACGTGACTTTACCGAATAGAACCAAAGAGTATGGATCCTTGCAGTCACGAAAGCTTTAAATCTAGAAAAGATCCACCCCCCCCAACTTCCCAAGTACCACACTTAGCCGCCTTTGTCTACACATTGCACCAGATATTGAGTTGAGGCTTAGTCGATCTAGGGGAGCCCAACAACCGGTTCAAATAATCGTGACTAGCATTGGCCATGAGCTGCCTTCGAACTCGGGTCACCGAGTTCTTAGCGCAGAGCGCTAACCATGATACTACACACACACACACACGTCCAAATACAAACTATCACATTCACTCTTGGCTCTCAATGAGTGAGGGTTGTGTGCGTGTGTGTTTGTGCAGCGAATGCCATTCTCCTACTAGCTAGCACTCGACAAACATGGCCTTCACAAACAGCGAGCAGCATTGTTTATTATTTGTTCAGCCCAACCCTGAAGAGCCAAGACCGCCTCTACTCCCCTCTCTCTATCTCCACGTGCTCCAATCACCCTGCGCAGCTGGGAGTGACTCATTTCAGAAGCGATCAGATCAACCAACCACTACCTCCTGGACTGCCTCCAGATTTTCACGTGATTCTTCGGAGTTGCGACTCAATTCAGGTAGAGTATCCTGCTCTGGCCTATGTCCCCAACCACCCGACAAGGATAAGTGCTACCCTCTACTGTGTGGAGCAGGGATTCCGTTTCTCTGACATGGGACATCCAACGTCGAAATAAGAAAACGATTGCATGCAGTAGAAGACCTGATGATGCAGGCAGTGATGAGAAGAAAAACTGGGCACTATTTGGACGCACGGGTAGGATGGACAACAACAGGAACATTCAAAGTGTTGTTGTTCGGAAAAATGGAAGGAACCGGAAAGAGAGGAAGACATCATAGAGAATGTCCCGACGACGACATAAGAGATTGGTGCCAGAAAGACGTGACACTACCTGAGTATATTGGCACGAGACACAGAAGAGTGGAAACAAATGACAAAATGTGCAGTGGACACCTACGGCTATCTGTCCATGGATCGTGATGATAATAACATGGCCACTGAGTCACTTTTGATGGACAAAAGACGACCAGTCCCTGGAGTTGAACCCATGCTTGCAAGCAGGCCTCTAACCTATACAATAGCACCAAACTGCATAAGCAAATGATGACGATGATTAAACATTGAGCCCGTTTACATTTAAAGGCAATTTATATCTACCCTGCATGTTTTAATTAAAGTGGCCAAAAAAGCCAGATATGATTTGCTGTCAGATTAGCAAAATTGTCTGGAACTGCCCGAGAGAAATGGTTTAAAAATGCACTAAAGCAAAGAGGCATGGCTTGGGAAGGTTCATTACGACTGTTTCAGTCACGGCGCCCATGCCAGGGAAAAACTTGGGTTCGAGTCTGGGTTACAGCCACCTGTGATTGAACCACACTTTCATGTGAGACGGATGGTCGCCACGTGTAACCGCCAGGTACAGCGATAGCTTTGGCAGTTCTTTATCGAGCTGAGAATAGATCGTGGCTGATGATGATGATGATGAGTGGGAGGCAACTATTTTCATGAACAAGAAATGTGTAGCAAAGGCCATAGCTCTACTGTCCTGTACTTCTATGCTCCCACATCTCTGCCTTCCCCCTCTGTCTTTGCCAACATACACTGAGCAGCGTGGAAAGGGCATGGTCACATGAGCGCCACCGTCCGCACGGCGTGGTGAGGGCCCTCATCCGGCAGTGGAATGACTAAACGCTGTATACGTACAACTTTTAATTATGGCTTTTAGTGCCCACCCAACCGCAAGATTCACCAGTTTATCTCCAAATGGATTAGAGTGAAACTCAAGAGACTCTTGCCTGGATAAATAACGATGGGGTGAATGCAAGGGGTTTTACAGTGTGAAGCTCACAGTAGGGTTCAATAAGATCTGTTTAAAGGGTTAACAGCAGTCATTGTGAGTGCGCGGTCACTGGAGCCAAGGCGAACACTATCACACTTGCTGCCCTTGTTAATACGTGTAGAATTTGTTGCAGTGCCAAAGATAGTGAAAGACAATGAGACTTTTTTTTGTTATTCTGAAACTCAAGCCCTCAAGTTGAACTGGCTTGGTGCCCCAATGCAGCCAGCAGCCAAATGAGAAACACCCAGGCCCAGGGTCTTGAACCCAGGAAATGCAGAAGTTGGTGGCTAATTAAACAAAAGTTTGTCATCCCTCTGAAGGAACACCCACACCCAGGTCTAAAATCTTATACCTCAAAAATTGTTGGTTTTCCAAACAACATAGACACGAGGCAAAACAAGGAATACTCGCTCTACAGGTCACAAACCCAGAACCTGAAGCATGCTGACTGAGTGAACACCAGTCATTAGCCTCCCTCAGCCTTGACTCACAACCAACCTTATGTCTTCAACCTATGATCTCAAAGATGTTTACTAAACATCAGAGATATCAGCCTCCTGTGACATAATGTGTTCAGGTCAAGGAAATTAACCCAGACCCTCCAAGGCGATTGATTGGTTCGCTTTGTAAACAACATAGACACCAGGTCATTGAGAGATGCCAACCCTAAATCTCAAACCTTGGAACTTAATGATGCTGGTGAGTTCACAACAAAGAAATCTGCATCCTGTGACAGACCCAGCCCCAGCACGGTATAATTTAACCCAGGCCCACAAATGATGTCGGCTTTAAAAAAAATCTAGATTGAAAACTCATTTCTTTATAACTACTTTTCGTGTTCAGTTTGTTGTCCTTGCCCCGCACCTCCAATTAGCACGGTTGGCTACGTACGGTGCGAAAAAACGCTCGACATACATACGTACTTAGTACAATGAAAGGCGGGCATGAACCCAGGACCTCATAAAATATGGCTGAATTCCTTATTCTGTTGAAAAATACAGTTTCCGTTACCGAACATTGAAACTGGTAGGAAAGCAATAAATGGGCGAGCAGCGGTAGCCAGCATGAGTCACTGGCTCTGTACGAGTCACACACAGGCGCAGCACAGCGTGACTCATTCGCCTCATTGATGTCAGCCAACAAAACACACAACAGGTAATTTTGTTGGGAGGCGTAATTGTCCCTGCAGACCCCTGCTATACAACAGCAATGCAGCCACACGTGCAGGCTTAGGAATTATTTGATTGTGTGCCTTACAGATTTGCTCTGGGTTTTGGAGAGTTTTCACTGAACGCTGAGAATCCTATAGATAACGTGTGTGAAGTGTGAGCATCCGAATCTTTCATTTTTGCCTTTTCCCCCATATTTACCCTCATTCGTTGTGGCTACGCACGCCTTTAACCCAGTACTGTGAAGGCAGGGGTTGGCGTATCACACGTGTTACGCGAAACTCCCTTCCCGTGGGCAATGAGGTGCCATACCCTGGCTTGCCAGGAGAAAGTACAGCAAGTAGACTAAACACCATCTGCTTCGGTCTGTACAAGTATCGAGTGTTACCCCCTTTGCATGTGTGCGTTTTCTCCAGGTGCACTGGTTTTTACTCCCACATATATAATAAACACTCATTAGGAATTGGTTGAAAACATCTTAAAATAAAAATCAGTTCAGGACCCTCCTGAAGAAAAAGTCCTACAACTGTGTGGCTATCCTGGATTAAACAAAAAGTAAACTATTTGTATTATTGAGTAAAACAGGCTGCTGTGTGTAGTGTGCC